GGCATCCCTTTTAATAGTATAGCATATCCTAACTCTATAAAGATAAAGAGTAAAATGGTTTACCAAGAAGACATGCCTGGATACTTATTTTCGTGCTAACAATTGGACAAAATAAAGCATTAGATAATTCTAGTTGTGTTGTCATTAATTGTCCAAATCAAATAGTGGGGGCTTGCATGCACTTTCGATTATCTTAGTAAGAAAAAGCATTGTTATTTTGGCATTGCATTAGTGATATAGACCTAACCAACTATTTCATCACATCCTTTAATTGAGAACTTGTAGCTAGTTGTGTTGTGGTCATCCACTCAACTTCGCAGCTTCAAATGTCTTTGTGTTGACTTTGTGTTTGGTTGAGTTAGCTTTCCTCCCTTGGGAGATGCTCTATTTTAAGCCCCTAAGGACCTGTTTGGGGGAGTTTTAGATTCTGAGAAGCAGCTGTTTGGCAGCCAGCTTCTGAGAATCTGGAAAAGCTCTGAAACCTAGCTTCTCCAGCTTCTGGCTTCTTAGTTCATTTTTCAAAATCTAAACTGTGGACTGTTTGAGGCAGTTTCTAGCAGAAGCAGCTGGGACAAGCTCCCCTAAACAGGGCCTAAGACTATCTCCAACAGGCTAGGCTAGGCATAGCAGTACCCAAACCCAAAATACGTGCTCCAGGGGCTACTGTAGCAGGAAAAAACATGGTCCAACAGGCTACCATACAAAGGACCTATTTTGCGTGCCAGGCGAGGCGGAACCCAAATATGAGCGTCCTCTCTCCTCGACCGAAACTTCATCGCAAGCCCGCGAAGGAAACTATCTGCATTGCAGGGTTTTCTTTTGCGTTCCCTGTTGGAGAAGGCAAGAAATAGGTGCATGACCTTTTGCCGCAGCGTGACGCATAACGTCCAATGGGTCTCCTGTTAAGGGCAGTATTGTTGGAGATAGTCTAAGTTGCCCTTTGTCTAAATAGACTTTGAGGGGCTAGTTAGGATACAAATCAAACATTTTAATCACCCGATGAACTATTTCTTACTTTTAAGTGAGGGGATTTATTTAGTATTTATTTAGCACATGTTTATAAGTATATCATTGACATTACCCAAATTAAGGATTTATGGATTTCTAATCTACCGCTAAAATAGATATATGGATCATATATATTATTTATATGGTATTTAGAAATACGGTTAATTATATTATTGTAAAACCGATAATTTCTATAAAAAATACGACAAAAGCAGTTGGTACAACATCAAAATCATTCCATTTCGCATATTTCACTATTTTGTTTTTTGTGTTTGTCAGTTATTGTTTCCACATGGTTTAATTAGTATAACATTTTTTTTAAAAAAAGTATAAACGTAGACACTCACAATAAATGCACACTCATCTCGCACCCAAGCACATTCTACCTCTATGACCACATCCGGAAAACTAGACCGACATATCTTGAGATTGATAAAGTCACCACAGACACCTCACTGTTCACGGGTACGTTATTTATCATTAAAAATAATTAGCAGTAAATATAAACACCCGTGTTAAATTTAGAACTTGAACTTGGATGAATTGATTCCACCATAAGTAATCTAGCTGTTAAACTACACTCACTTCGTTAATTAGTAGAATACCAAAAATGACTGTCAGTAGGTTAGGAACTTCTGCTACCATTTTCGGCCCCTTTGATTCAAAGGAAATTCATAGGAATTTTGGTGGATTTCAATCCTATAGGAAAATTTTCTATAAAGCCCTTTGAAACAAAGGATTGAATCATATCCAATCCTTTGAAATTCCTATGGAATGGACAATCCTATAGAAATTTTAGAGAAAATTTAGCAAGAGCTTCAACCTCTTGGTAATTTTTCTTTAAGACTATCTCTCTCATCCAATTCCTGCGTTTTTCCTGCGGTTCAATCAAACGGTAATTCCTGTATTTTTCCTACGTTTTGCAATCCTCCGTTTTATACTTATATTCCTATCGAAATTCTACGTTTTTCCTATTCCTACATTTTCTCAAACCTTCAATTCAAAGAGCCCTTCACCTCTGGATGCAAGGATCGAGGAGGTTGCCCATCTCCGATAAACTTCAGGGGAAAGAAATTTAAGCCTAATGTTAGTGCCTATCGGCTATCATCTTATCATCTATGTGCCTTCAAGTTTAAGACCGGAGTATACTTGTCAACAGTCAACCTTCTTCCTCTTTTGCCGTGTCCTGCTCCTCCACCAAACTCACCTTTTTCATAGCTATAGGTTCGAATCTTCCACTGCAATGATATGGTTAATTAACAATGCATATGGCCAAATATTTGCAACACCCGTTTCTTTTTCTTCTTGTGCACCACGGCACCAAGTCAAGTCAAGGAGGCACACTATCATATAAATAAGGGGACAATTGCGTTTTTTACTCTATTTTAAAGACTAACGGCTAATTTGGCCCCTGTTTTTTCGAGTTTGCTCATTTGATCCTTTTTTAGAAACGAAGATAAGACTTGGCCCTATTCCGTGAAGGCAACATGATGTTGTTAACTCAAGACAAATATTCCATTTGTACCCTTATGAATTTAACCCAATTTCTCAAAGTATTTTATTCAATGCAGTTTTGTGCACTTATTAGTATATATTAAATTGCCTCAAACACAAATACATGGCACAAATTTATGTCTACCAAAAACAAAAATAGGCAAAAAAAAACATGTCAAGTGGCAGGACACCGCGCAGCTGACGATGATCACCTGAGCCCATCCGTGCGGAGCAGCTGCCGCCACCACTCCTCACTCCGCCCACCGGCTCTGCTGCTCCGACCCTCCGCGAGCCACCATGCGCCGCCGCCGCCGGTGCTCCCTCCCTCCCCACAGAACCGCTGTCTCCCCACTAAAGTCCACCACCGCCACGCCGCCTTCGCCGAACCGTCGGAGCAAGATCCATCGCACGCGTGTCTCGGCACTGCGCGCATGCCTCAGCGCCACCGGATCCGTCGTCTCATCACCGAGTCTCCGCCGGATCCACCCTGCCGCCTTCGCCCCTCCTCCTCATCGTCGAGACGCCGCTGTCACTCCTCCGCCTCGTCGAGCCGCCGCCGGCCCTTCTCCTCGTCAAGCCACCGCCGCTCCTCCTCTTCGTCGAGCCACCACCATCCCTCCCATGTCGCCGCCGCTGTCGCTCCTCCGCCTCGGTGAGCCGTCGCTCCTCCTCCTCCTCTTCATCTAGCCACTTCCATCCCTCCCATGCCATCGCCCCGTGGCTGTCATTGCACGAGGAGGGTGGCGGGAGGAAGTTCCTCTCAAGGTCTGGTGAGAGAGAGGAGAGGCAGAGGATAAGGATTTCAAGCTCTGGTGAGAGAGAAGAGAGGGAGAGGATAAGGGAACAATATTGATGTGTACAAAGGGTATTTTGGTCAACTGTGGCTCATAAAAAACTTTTTTTTTTCTATTTTCTAAATGAAACCCTAACTGTTTTATGAATCCACGGTCAGATGGCAACTCAAATTTTAAAAAGTAGGGTCAAACAAGCAAATTTTAAAAAGTATGGTCAAATTAGTAGTTATGCTTCAGAACAGAGTCAAAGAAGCAATTGCCCCAAATATAAATGGAGGGAGTAACTAAGAGTTGTCCTACAATGCCAGTGAGAATAATTCGGCCAAAAGATTCGCGTCTGAAAATAGGTTTTAGAATAATTAAAACTTAATTAATCATATACTAATAGCTTTTCGTTTTAAGTGCGCTAACTTAATCTTCATCTTCGTGAGTTTCAAACACCACTAATTTGTTTCCAAATGAGCTCTCCATTTTTAGTTTAAACAACACACATTTGGGGCTAGAGGTAATCGTTGGGGGTCTGCTTTTCATCACTATCTTGGTTCGTGGATAATCAGGGAGACAGTGAGACCGAGGAGTCGTCTAAACGTTAACGAGGCAAACAAAAAGAGCAAAGTTTAGAAAATCCTAAGCTCCATGATTAAAGTATGAAAAATATTGTAACGTGTGGCACATAATCGCAGGTATCATTTCAGTATATCAAATAGAATTTTGAAAACAATACAAATTTAAACTATCAATCTTAGTGAAGAACTTAATTATGAAAACTCTCATATATACTTATGTTTTTTAATGTTAAGTAAATTCATACTCAAAATAAGTGTCAAGTTCTGTGCATCTTTAAAACTATAATACCTAATGATGTCACACGCCATGCAACATAATGGTTTTACGAATTTAATCACAAAACATAGGTTTTCTGAAATATTACTTCCATCATATAGTAATTGCATTTCTAGACAAATTAACCGCAAACGCAATTTAGCACACTAACCCTAATAATTACACCGCTGTACATTTGAAAGGAATGTTTTTCATATGTAAACTTAATTAAAAAGAAAGATTGGAGTGCACATTCTATTTGTTTGTTGTGTTCCATGTTATCGTAAACTAGATGAATATCCCGCTGCGTTACTGCGATTATTAAAACTAAAACAAATTAATACTTATGAATTTTGAAAATAAAAATAATTAAGAGTGCATGGTGTTATCAGAAAAGAAATAAGAGATAATTTGAACCATAGATTTATCATTCAAAGGCTATAAATAATTGAGGTGATGTGGCTTAATGAGATAAGAGAGAAATGACATTAACTGCACTTAATGAGGATGAACTATATAAGTATTCCCTCCATCTCAAAATATAAGCATTTTTTTTTACTCTGGCACGGTCTCCGAGATGCTACTTTGATTAACCATATCGATGTTCTAATAAAAAAAAGTTATATATTATGATAGTTTGTTTAATGATAAATTTAGAAATATCAATTTTACATGATTTATCTTTTTTATATTTTTGCTATTAATACTTAAAGTTTAAAATGTTTGACTTGTCACTATGCTAAAAATGCTTATATTTAGGGCGAGTATATATGATTTTTTTTGGACAAATTTTGAATGTGCAATCATTATGGGACGCAATTATTACTGAATTAAAAACGAAGACTTTGTCCCCTGAAGTCGTGAAGTCCGGCGTCCCCTGCTCTAGTGCTCTCTAGTTTTATACTCCATCTCGCTCGCTCACTCATGTCACTCGTCAGCCACTTCCGGTGTCCATCCAATTCCCCAGCAACCGCGGCGCCGATCGAGTTCTTGGGCTCCGGCGGCAGCCGGCCGGTGTTGGGCGCGCGACGGAGCCCCGGCCACCTGCAGCTAGCCGTACAGCCGCCGGCGGCCGGTGTATACAGGTATCTCTCTGGATTCTGTTTTTTTTTCTTTTTTTCTTTTTCTTTTGGATCGAATCGGCCCCATCGCTCGCTCCGAGAAGGCGGCGTTGATCCGCGCCAGCGCCACGGTTTCGAGGGGCTGTGTGTGCCCCCGATTTAGCGGAGGAGGGCACGGTGGTTTCGAGGGGTCCCGAGAAATTCGTGAGTTTTTCATCCTGCACTTCACTTTGTTTTCTTGCTTATCGCCGTGTTTGGTGTTGCTAATAGCAGTTATTACTTATTCTTATTACTATTACTATTATTATTATTACTCACTCCGTTTTATAATGTATGTGTTTAGATTTATTAGTATCTAAATTAATGTAGGCAATGTTAGAAAGTCTTACATTGTGAAACGGAGCAGGTATTATTTTTGGAGTAAATTTCAGAAATGGGACAAAGTTATGAAAAACCACGGGTATTAATGACGAGTGGCACATAACCACATATGACATATTTATGGTCTCATTGTTTTCTAAAACCCAACCTTTATTGGAATTTTGATAAATTCCAGCATATCTATGGTTTAGAACTTTAAGTAAATTCACGCTTAAAGTGCATAAGGGTGATATTTTGTGAAACTTTAAAATCATAATACCTGACAGCGGCGGAGCCAAGGCCCGGCCAGCACAGGCAGGCGCCTAGGCTCCGCCACATGCATCCATGCATTAGAGCTAAATATAGCGTTTAGCCATTAGCCTAGCTTCACATACACCATTAGATTAGCACTAATTATCATACTTGGTTATTAGCCAGCGGCCTAATTTCGCTTCTTATTCATGATAAAATGCTATATGTATTTTTGTTTACTTGTTAATTTGTTATCTATCGTTAGGTTTGCCCATGCCTAAAAAAAATTCTAGATCTGCCACTGATACCTGAGGTTGTGTCATGTTATAAAACCTGTGGTTATTTACAACTTCACCAAAAAACACAATGTTTTCTGAAATTTGTTCTTATTTTTATTATAAAGATGCATAGCCACCACTACGGGGTTTCCCAAACCACCGGGGCCGGGGTTACCGCGACCCAGCGGTAAGCACGGTTACCGCGCAGTAACCACGGTAACCGTGAAAAACCGTACAAAACCGTGCAAAATTTATCAAAAATTCAAATTATATTTTAAATTTATTTCAATTTAAGGAGGTTACCGTGGTATTTATATTACCGTACCCCGCGGTAAGCCCGGTAACCGTGGTAACCGCGCGGTTACAGTCGGTAAGTCGAACCCTGCCACTACCCACTGTTCTATATGCACACACCTGTAAGCAAGTCCACTTAATAAACACAAAGTGACGGATGTCAGAAGCAAATTTCCAACCTCACTATAAAATAGTATTAAAAGGGTACTTGTGTGCTTGCAATATTGTAGGTATAAGTATTGATCCCTGGTGTGTGAAGTCATGTATGAAATATTTTGTTATATGCCATTTTCGAAGATGGCATTCAGATGTGCAAGTGCACAAACAAACTATAGTTGTGGTATATTAACCTGTCAAGCTATTAGCTAAACTTGAGGGGAGGGACCTAATGTTTTTCTTTGAACCAAGTGATGGGACCTAACCTTTACAGCCTGTTTGGCAACAATTGGGAGGAGGAATGAGAGTTCAGTTAACCAGTAAAATACTCTCTGTGTATCTTACACTGGTTTTGGGCCAAAATAAAAAGAAAAGAAAAGAAAAGCTTCCAAGCAGGTCCTAGTATGTTTCCGACATTTTCTAGCTTATGTGAGCTAGAAAGTAGACATGTTCAAACGTTATTCTCCTTGTGATCTGAAACTTAAAGACTCTGTGTACTCAATCAAGTAGGATTATAGGAAGCTACTTAGTTTGCTTCACCTTGAGGTCTTGTGAAAATGTTGTTCATCATTTTCTTTTTGTTCACATACATGATGGATGTCCACTATTACTGTTTTCGCATTTTGGATTGAGTTAGCAATTATTCTGAATATTTTGCAAAAAACTCAACATGAATAGAATTCCCCTTACATGGTGAGTGATTAAACAGCTAGATGATGGTGGGAGCAACGGTTTCAGCTTCAGCGGGGGTGATGAACTCTCTGCTTGGGAAGCTCTCCACCTTGCTGGACAAAGAGTATACAAAGCACAAAAATGTGGAAAAGGATGTGATGTTCCTGCAAAGGGAGCTACCCAGCATGGAGGCTGTGCTGCAGAAACATGCAATGCAGGACGAGCTTGATGTTCAATTGAAGGCCTGGGTGAGTGAGTTGAGAGAGCTGGCATATGACATTGAGGACTCCATTGATGCTTTCATGGTGCGCATTGAGCACTATAGTGATGAGTCTGCTGGAATTAAGGGGTTTATGAGTAAGAAAATCCACAAGCTCAAGAAGCTCCGTTGTCACCATAAATTTTCGGCGGTGTTTCTTGAACTAAAAGAGCGTGTCGTTGAAGCAAACGAGCGGCGAAGAAGATATGAGGTTGATGGGTCCACATCTGGAACCACAACCAGTGATTGCTTGTTGATTCCCGGTTGCCAGCACTCTATTCTGGTTTAGATGAGCTTGTAGGAATCAAGGGTCCAAGGGATTGTATAATCAAGTTGCTAACTTATGAAGCTGATAGTGGCCCATCAAGACAGCAACTCAAAGTAGTGTCCATTGTGGGATGTGGAGGTCTGGGCAAGACAACACTTGCCAATCAAGTCTATAAGGAAATCAATGGCCAATTTGATTGTAAGGCTTTTGTGTCTATGTCCCAGAAACCAGACATGAGGAAGATCTTAATGGATCTACTATCTCAAATACTGGGGAATGGTAGCCCCATGTGCTTTGATGAACAGCGACTCATTGACAAGCTTCGGGAGTTCCTAAAAGATAAGAGGTATTAAAACTGAACTTTATTGTTTCATAATTGCAAGATAATAATAAAATTATTGAAAAAAAACTGCAATTTTTAAAAGTATCAGGTGTTAACATTCTGTAAAAAAGTCCAAGTCAAGACAAACAGAGAGAGATATTAAATGTGAACTATACACAATACACATATGTGTATACATCCCTTACATGGTAGAAGAGTCCTTAAAATCTTCATTTGTGCCTTAATCTTTGGACATGTCTGAGACATATTAGATCTGTCTGGTCTATGTAATTTCACCTTATCAATACTTAATTTTCCTTCTTTTTTAAATGACCTATTGGATTAGTGTTAACCATGCCATTTTGTAGTTTCGTATTTTTATACTCTTGTTTCTTCTTTCGATCTTTAAATTTTTTTTTCCGTAGATTCAACTGGATTGTAGTTTTTATTTATAAGCAAGTGACATTGTGACATGGGGATACTGTGAAATAGCTATTGACAATAAATCAAATATTAAAGTCCCTACAAGAGATGATAACAGGAAATTAGGAGTGAACTTTGAACAGTTTTTGAAAATGACTTGGTTTTGCGCCTTATCTAAAGCAATATGAAATATGGTTTTCAACGGAAACGTACACAGCTAGTTGTCATGTGCCATGGAATATTAGGTACAGAGCTTATTTGTATTCCAGTTAAGTATAGGCCCTATACTTTTAGAGTAAGGCGTCTAGTGAAAACGATGGCATCTGCGGAGTCATGTGAAGGAGATTGACTTGAGTTTTTAGCAATTACATTGTTAAGTTCACTATGACAGCCCGGCCAAAAAAAGTTCACTATGACCATTGTATTTGTTTTAAAGCTCCATGGAAGCCCCAATTGATGCAAAAGACAAGGCATTGTGTTCAGTTAGCTGTTTGGGAGGGCAATGTGTGCTTTATTTTGTGTAGAAGGACTGCTATATTTTTTTGTGTTGTCTGCATACTGCTTATTCCCAATTTCAAACAGATGCATCAATAACAATTTTGCGTCTTAAGTCACCTTAGAGAATTTGGTCAGGGCTTCCCCTCATATACAAGTTTCGGTAAACCTTGGGACATTTTGTATGCCATTCAGATATGTCATGAGAAAATCAGACCTACATAAAACAAGTACACACACAGATGCAGTATTATTTTAGTAAAAATATATACATGTAATAAAAACAGTTCTTATAAACTGTTCACAAATTTATGCAAATAGGTTGTGATGTTTATATCATAAGAATAATAATATAGTTTTTAATATTTCAGAAACACCATTGGCACCTTGTAACTGCTGATATATCTCTCAATTCTGCTAAGTTCTACCTAACGCTTGATAAAATGTCACCAAAATCTGTACAGGTACCTGATCGTTATTGATGATATTTGGAGCACATCAGCATGGGAGATTGTGAAGTCTGCATTTCCTGATAATAATCTTCGCAGCAGAATAATTACAACAACGCGCATCATGGATGTAGCTAAATCATGTTCTGCTAATCTCCAGGAATATGTTTACACCATCAAACCACTTAATCATCAAGACTCTAGCAAGCTGTTTGTTAAAAAAATTTTCCCTTCTGGGTGTGGTGTTCCTCAACATCTGAAAGAAGTTTCGAATGCAATACTGAAAAAATGTGGTGGTTTGCCACTGGCTATACTTATTATAGCTGGTTTGTTGGCTAGTAAGTATGATAGGAAGGATGAGTGGGAGGCAGTGCATAATTCTATTGGCTCTGAACTTGGCAAAAATCATACTTTGGAAGGATTCAGAAGGATTTTGATGCTTAGTTTTTATGACCTGCCTCATGATTTGAAAACCTGCTTCTTATATCTAAGTATATTCCCGGAGGATGACCTGATTGTAAGAAAACAATTGGTGTGGAAATGGGTTGCGGAAGGGTTTATTAGAAAAGTGCGTGGTAAAAGACCAGATCAAGTTGCAGAGAGCTACTTTTACGATCTTATCAATAGAAACATGATCCAAGCAGTGGGTGTTCAGTACAAAGGTAACATATATGGTTGTCGAGTTCATGATTTAGTGCTTGACCTTATCAGATCTCTATCAGCACAAATCAACTTTGTTATCGCGATTGATGATAAAGGGTATGAATCTTCTCCTAGGAAGATTCGTCGGCTGTCCTTGCAAGCTAGTAATTTGGAAGATCAAGAAATGCAGAAACTTGTGAGTAATCAATCCCATATCCGCTCACTCATTATGTTCAGGGCCTTTAAGAAAGCACCTGATCTTTTCAAGTTCCATGCTCTGCGTATTTTGGATTTATCCGAGTGCAATTGTTTGGAGGACCACCACATTACATGTATAGTGAATATGTTTCAGCTGAGGTATCTGAGCCTCCCTTGCAGAATCACTGAACTCCCCGAGCAAACCGGGAACTTGCAACATCTAGAGGTACTGAACATCAGGCGTTGCATGATCAAAACATTGCCAGAACCCATTGTTAAACTTGGGAAACTCATGTGCCTACACGTGAAGTCTGGGGTGAAACTGCCGGATGAGATTGGGAGAATGCAAGCTCTCCAGGAGCTGGAGAGTATCTCCATCCCATGTAACTCTGTGAGGTTAATTGAGGAGATTGGTAGGCTGACAAGATTGCGAAGACTTACTGTTGAAACAACAAGCACTACTGAGAAAATGGGAGACCAAGAAGTGAGGTTCAGGGAAATGTTGGTCAGTTCCCTCACCGAGTTGGGCAGAAATGGCCTTGAGTCACTCTGTATCAGCTACCCTCATGGACAGAACTTCATCCTGGATTCATTGTTTGGCTCTGGCTGCTCTCTTCCAAAGTTTCATGAGCTTGACATAAAGAATTACCTTTGTTGGGTTCCAAGGTGGATAACTATGCTTAGTAGCCTTGTGCACTTATGCCTATCCATGTATGATATTGACGAGGAAGATATGCGAGTTCTGAATGGCATCTCCACCCTGCTATTTCTCCATTTAGAATTAAGGAATCCACCTGAAGAGAGGCTAGTCATTGGTTGCGATGGACTCAGACATCTGAACGAGCTACATGTGTTCTGCCAACATTCCACAATGCCATTGACGTTCGCGCCTGGAGCAATGCCAGAGCTCCACCGTTTACGCCTCGAATTCGGGGCGAGGGAGACGTTGCGCATGTATGGTGATTTTGATTTCGGCATCGAGCATCTTTCGGGACTCCGGGATATCAGAGTTGACATTAACTACTACTCTGGTGGCACTGACATGGATGCAGAAGCAGTGGCTGCCAAGGATGCTATCACCACTGCTTCCATCATCCATCCAAACCGCCCCTTACATGATGTCCGAATGCATGTCACCATGATGTTTACCCTGAAGGAGGCTGCTCAGTCGGTTGGGCTCCAAAGCGCCACGAAAGAATTGAATTTAGGGACGGATTTTCAGCGCACTTTCGTCCAAATTGGTAATGAAACCTCTTTGCCAACTTACTACCAATATATGTCTTTCCTGCTTGTTCAGTTTAGTTACAATTCCTTTTGTTTTTAAATCCATCAGAAGACCTTGATAATCCAGAAGTTCTGCGAAAACTACAGCAGCTATTATCACCTGAGTCTTCGACACGGAACCAGTAGCTTGGGACTTGAAGAAACAACGTATGTATCTTCTGGAAATCTGGCCATCAAGATCAGGTGCGAGTATGGCAAATTGATTGAAATTCGTATAAAAATCCAGGAGATTCGCAATGTTAATGTGAGGTATCTAAGAATCTGGCTTGGAAATACTCCCTCCTTTTCATATTATAAGTCATTTTGTCTTTTTTTCCTAGTCAAATTTATTTATATTTGACCAAGTTTCTAGAAAAATTTATCAACATCTACAACACCAAATCAGTTTCATTAAATATAATATTAAATATATTTTGATAATATGTTTGTTTTATGTAAACATGTTACTATATTTTTCTATAAATTTAATTGAACTTAAAGAAGTTCGACTAGGAAAAAAATCAAAACTTATAATATGAAATGGAGGGATTATCTTGATGTGGGATAAAGGCAGGAGCTCTACCATATCAATTGAAGTAGGGCGGAAAAAATGAGTGTCATTTTTCTTTTACAAAATAGAAGTCAAGAGGAGAGCCAAAGTACTTTTTTTTTATAAAGGAAGCTTTTATTAATCGTCTGAGATTACAAAACTATCTTTATCAGTTGTACTTTTACAGAATAGAAGTCACGGTGATTTGAGGTTTCAGCCAATGATGGTTACAAGCGGCCATTATGAGCTCTCCGTAAATTTGCATCCCCATTTAGCTTTTGTGCGCTTTCTAGATTAATGTTCTTTTTTCAAAGTCTTCTAGTATAAACTTGCATGACCATTTATCATCATACAATATTTGTGTATATGGAAAACGATAGGAAATGTGATATTCTGGTCCAATTAGGATACGGCATGTGTGACCCATAAAAGTTGTGTGTGCATGTTAAGTATCATATTGCTAGTTTAGTAAGAGTAAAACCAACTTATAAGGGTTTGTCTCTCCCAACGTAACACTTCTGAGTTAATCTTTTTACACAAAATGAAAACGAAAGTATAAGTGGGGTGGTATATATTGGCCCTCTTTGTTTAGGCTTAGGCTTATTGGCCTAGACTTTTAAGTCAGCTTATTGGCTTATATGATTTATAAGCCAATGGATTTAATGTCCTAAGTTTAGTGGTGGAGTCATACATCTATCTCATATAAGCCAAAAAAGCTTCTCCAACCTAGCTTTTGGCTTAATAGTGTTAGAGTGGCTTATGGCTTCAAAAAAGCCAAATGAAAAAGCTGCTTGTTTGTTTTGACTTAGACTTTTCAACTTATAAGTAGGCTTATAAGCCTAAACAAAGAGGGCCATAAATGAGTCCATCCGTCGGATAGGCTAGACTGTGCGGTTTTGGAGGGTAGGTAGTTACAGGGGTAGGTAGTTACAGGGATTGTGCCGGATAATGTTCTTGTCTTACAATGGACTTGTCACTGCCTTCTGCAAACTGATCCCTAGTCTGATGTTTTCTGGATAATACTAGGGATTGGGTGATCAAAATGTTTTATTTGACCGTCTGAAACATCGAACTTTTTGCATTTGTCTCGTGAAACGAAGAGTTAGTCATTCAAACATTTAAAAGAAATGCGAAACACAGGTGAACGATTTTGCTCTTGCGCATAAGACATTGAATTGTTTATGCATCAGGGGCTCTCCTTTTCTTCTCGATGATTCTCTTCTTCCCTTCAAGCAGCTGTAGGAGCTCCTTAGAAATCAATCTTGATATAATCAGAAAATAAAATACTTAGAACTTGTAAGGAACATTAGATGCATCTCATGAAAAGAGACTTGTTGTGATGGACACATGTTGCTTTCCTCTGAGAAAAAGTCAGTGTCTGCACATTTCCTGTTTATGCATTCCTTGACAAAAACGAAGATGCATCTACATTTCGACAGATCACAAGAGTAAATAACTCGACACATGCGTATAGGAACAAGCTTGGCATCCTGTTCGGCAACTCATTGTCTGGATTTTTTATATTTTGGCTATTTTCAAAAACTTATTTTGTAAATAGATCTAAAAAAAATTATCGTAGGAATAGACCCTTTTCGCGATGCCAGTAACCATGCATCAAGATTCAATATCTAGGCGCCAGCGCCGATATCCTTGTCCCCCAGCAGCTGAGATGTGGAGGGTCGGTGCCAAACATATTGGCACTAAAGATCTATTTGTAAAATATATTTTTTTAAAAAAGGGTTAAAATGTAAAAAGTTTTTCTTACAAATAGGTTCATATCACCAAAGAGACTGAGTGTCTATTTGTAAGAAAAAAATATTTACATTTTGACCCTTTTAAAACTTTTATTTGCAAATAGATCCTTGATACCGATCTCTTTTGCACTAATCCCTTCACATCAGCGACTTAGCTACCAAGGATGGTGAGGACATCACCATCAGTGCCATTGACACTGAGACATTAAACCTGAGCATCAATAACTCTGGCGTCGAGAAGCCTCACCCCTTCTAATTATTTAATATTAGGTCCTTCTCTAATATTCGCGTTTTTTATATCCTCGAATTTTGGTATGGATCATTTTCATACCCTTTTTGTTAGTTGACCATTTAATTCCTATGAAAAGGTCTATTTTGTCCATAGGTACAGAAAAAGCATATAAATTTTGTAGAGTATATTGTTTGAATGTAAAAAATATGTTGTACGAGACTATTAAATTTATAAGTTTGTTATGCGATATATTTATGACAACATTTATTTTTAGATGTGCATAAAAATAATATTTGTTTTTTAATTATTAAAAAAATGTACATATAGCATATTTTCTTACACTAGTACAACAGATTTTCCATCTGTTTTATATTTTATTTAAAAGAAATATTGTACTACAAGGCTAATTGTTTTTAACATTAAAAAAATGCTACACATAATTTTCTTGAATACTATATTAAATTTTCTACATTTAATGTTTTCTCATACAACAAACTTATTATGGATATTACATTCACGCAACAAATCACCATCAGTAGTTTTCTCAAATTTCAAACATTCCATGCATGTCCAAGGGTACAATTGATTTTTTTTAAGAGAGAATCTACTCCATGGCACTAAGTTTACCACAGTTCAACGATTTTCACTAACATTATCTCTTTCTAAAATATACCAGTGACTTTCTCAATTGTTCTACAATATATCATTGGGATAGATTTTTTAATAAAAAAATCCAAAATACCCTTAGATACATACAAGGTTAACAATTAATTTATCTTATTATAAGTTTTAAAAAATATGAAAAAAAATGTAGCCTCCTTACAAAACATGGAAACTTGTATATAAGATTTTCAAGTTTTTTTTGGTATATTTATTTTTTAGAACAAATATTTTTCTGTGGTATAAGAGAGAGAATTTGTTTACACAAAATATAATAGCACAAAAATATCTTATGTACCATATGAAAGATTATTTATATTAAATACACCGACAAAAAATATTTTATATAGCATATAACAGATAAGTGATATTTAAAAAAATAGAAATGCAAAAAACTTGAAACTTAAATACAAAATTCCATGTTGTGTAAGAAGGCTACATGAAAATTTTCATATTTTTTTTGAAACTTCTAATGAGATAAACCAATTGTTAATGTTATATGTCCATACAGATATTTTTGGGTATTTTTGAAAAGAAAACCCGGTTCAATGGCGTATTGTAGAATAATTTGTAAAGTAGCCAATATATTATAGGAAGAGACAAAGTCAATGGTAAATTTTTAAACTCGGACAAACTCAGTGGTATAGAATAGATTCTCTCTTTTTTACTTGTTAAACGGTTAACTAACAAAAAGGATATAGAAAAGATCAAAAGTAAAATTAAAATTCGAGAGTATATAAAAGAATGAGTAAAACTCAACGACATTGACTAATTTAACAATATACAAGGGATTTTCTCTAATTAGAATATCCTAAGAACATTCTAACCAATAGTCTATGCAGCATGGACCCTCTCACTCTCCCTTTCATTTCCAATTTTCTGCCACAAAGTTTTGCAACACAGTTCTATTGTTTCTCTAATAAAAACAAAAGCTATCTACTTCAAATATGGAATATTTACTCTTTCCATCCACTAAATAGTCCTTGATTGGATAACAAAGGTAAATGCTATCTACTGCAATCTGAAAAAGAAAAAAAACACCTAATCATGCTGCACTAGCACGTGAAGCTGCTGAGCTTTTTTTTTTTTTTGAGAACTGCTGCTGAGCCTGAAACTCGGCGAACAATCCTAGAATGCTGGAGCAGCAAAAAAATCAGCCAAGTAGCCAAATGCTGACGAAAATTCAATCTTACACAAACACTAATCCCATCAAGCCACCAAGTTGCCAGCTCTCTGAATGCGTTTTTTTTTTAACAAACACTACAATACAAGTGTAAAAATAAAAACAATTTGCTCTGCGAATCAAATTATGGAAACAATAAGGTTTGATTACTTTTTCCATATATCAAATTCAGAAATATATTTTCCATTTCAACTTATCATCCATTTGTAATTGTTTCATACTTCGATCTACCCAAAAAAAAAATGAGCTCCCAAGTAGTGGGAGAGGAAAGTGATCGTAATGAGCCGATGACTCATAAGCAATGGTTTGGTTAAGAGAGCGTAACCTGTCGGAATTGTAGCGAAAGCGACTCTTAATAGGACAATTTTCACTACTTACGGAGATCCGAACTTAGGTGATTTATCCATGACTAGGATAAAAGTCAGATTGAAACTATCCTGCTTGATGTATGGACATGCTCTTAACTGGGAAAAAAAATCAGGGAGCACATCTAAAAATTAGGAATCATGAACTGATTGTGGCCTAAAATCGTAGCATGCACCTCCCTAAAATGGTCTCCAAGAAAATAAGATGCATGCTGTTGATTTTAGGTGCCCTAAAATCCTTCGATCACGAGCAAATAAAAAGGTCAAATTAACTAGCGAGCACAACAGTACACAACATGCAGATCGGAATGAACCCATTGCAAACGCAGTACCAGGTAACAAATCAACTTCACCTCTCCGGAAAGACTTCTCTCTTTATGGGAAGTAAGGCAGCGTTCGAGAGGGTGAGAGAGTGAGTTTGTTTGTTTCGTTTTCCGCGCGCACATTTCCCAAACTACTGTGTTTTTTTACAAAAATTTTCTATAGAAAAGTTGCTTTAAAAAATCATATTAATCCATTTTTGAAATTTAAAATAGTTAATACTCAATTAATCATGAGCTAATAGCTCACCTCATTTTGCGTATCTTCCTAATCTCCTCAATCCCCTTCTCCTCAAACACACCCTAAACACACCCTAAGACATGTACTAATAATGAGTGTGACTGATTAGTCGCACGTGCAACAAGAAATATAATTATTATATGATTAATTAATAAAAATGAAAAATAAATTTATTTGATTTTTTAAACCAACTTCTACATAAAATTTTTTATACTAAATTAACAATTGGAGAAACATGCTAATAGAAATCGAAATCGAAGAAGTAACCAATCCGTTCACTTTAGAACAGAGTAACAGACTCCCTAAGGAAAGGAGATCAAGAATTCAACAGAGATGGGCCGACCCAAAAATATAGGGTATGTTCACTTTAATATCATTTTTAACCTTACCAAATTTGAGTATTACCAATTTTAGCATAGTTACCAAAATTTTGGCAGGATTTCTTATATAGTTATCAAAATTTGACAGCAAACTAAATGTAACCACTTTTTTGACAATTTTACTAAAATTTGGTAAGGTTGAAAATGGCATCAAAGTGAACATGCCCATATTAGCCTACAAAATTTCAGGTACTGTGTCCTAGTGGATTCCAGATCCGACAAAGAAACAAAAGCTCATATTCGTGCACAAATCTTGAAGAGAAATGGACGGCCACAAAATTCAACTAAAATTTGTGCAGTTCCCAGTCACCTGAACACTAGCAAATACCAAATATATACATGTATAATTCTATCTACTACTAAATAGTACAGTAAGTCCTAAGAATCCGTCTGGCGAGATCATCTGCTCCGCTTTTCTTGTAAATCAGATGCAAATTGAACGCAGCCTCTCTTCGTACATCGCAATACCCTGGCTTGAGATCCTGCTGGGCACAGGAATTCTCCTCGTATGGAAGCCTGGGAATAGGGTAATCTTTCACCTCAACGGCTAAAGCCTTCTCGTAGTAAATTGCTGCCAAGGTGTTGAGGCCAACATGATGATACGCCCGAGCGATGTTGTACAAGGCTTCCTACAAGGCGAAAACATGATTAACAATGTACCTTAATTTATCTGTAACTGCTATTTATTCAACTTGAAGTCCTGTTTAACTGACAAGCTAGTTTTCTGTTTTTTGTGGTTGCAAGAGAACAAAATAACGATATCACCCCAAGCACCTAAACCTCAAATATCCAAAATAAAGGTGTGCTCTACCATCTATTTCCAGACTCCTAGCCAACTAACAACCATGAGATTTGATTATGGATTTGCGGCGTAGCAATGAACACTGAACAAGATGGATGCAAGGTGGCCCATAAGCCCATGTGGATGGGAAGGTTGGGCATTGCGCACATTTCGCAAATTTTGGCAAGCACCCGTGCATGGAACAACACAAGAAGCCAGATTTAAGCAAAGAAAAGAGTAACAGAGTGGATGTAAAACAATTCTGTGTTTCTTATCCCACTTGCATTATATTAACCAAAAATGTCAGAAATGGTAAAAAATGGTAAACTTTGAAAGTAATTGTCCTGAAGGAATAGAAGATCTTTTTGGTGGTACATAGAGAGTTTGGTTAACAATTGATGGTAAATAGGGCATTTGTTTTGTGTAAAGACCAAGTGTAAACAATTCTCTCTTTTTTTTTGTGTGTAAATAGGGCATATCAAGCTTGGTGTAGCAACCAAGAGTGCAAGAAGGATTTAGAATTCCTATGTATGGCCTTATTTCAGTGTGCATTAGTATTGCATACTGAAAATCAAAGGCAAACCCAACCGAAACCAAATGCAGGACCAGACCAGGTCACCTTCCTCGATTCCTCGATTGCTGCTGTAAGCCTTAACACCAGCTTTTAACCATGGGCTCCTATAAGTAGGTCAGCTGAGGTGCTCCCAGTCTGGTGTTATAAATTATTCCACCCAGGCACTGAAGTACGGAAAGCAAGTAACGGATGCATATGCTTCTGCCCTGTGATTTGTTTAATCCTGTGGACCTGACCTGCCTTTTGGGGCGACATGCATCACAAAGCGCTTACAGCCCAGGCCCAAATGATGCAAGTGCTCAGCACTGCAGGCTAACCCCAGCCATTAAATTTGGTAAAAAAGGAAAAAAGCTCGGCCACTAAACCCATAAGGAAACAGTTGAGCCTTACTAGCAGCTTAGATGCTGAAAATACTAGAGCATTATCCATATGGATTATAAGGACAAAACCTGGCTGTTGTCACAAAGACGCAGATATCGAAAGAGGAATGCCAAAGCTTGAACGATGCACTGGTTCTTATTCTGAAGCCTAAAGCCAAGGGCTAAATTAATTAGAGCAGATCCTGCAAATGATTGAACAGCTACAGTTAGTACTCTTATATGTTGATACGTGTTAATGTTAATACTTAATGCCATTGTTTTGGTGGCATACCAACACAGAGATTTATAAATGGATTTTCTGGGTTCAATTTATAAGCTTCCAGATAATCACGAGCAGCTGACTGATGCTGGCTGATAGCCGTAAATCGATGGCCAGATATGATTATAGGAGGCACACAGTCAGTCTTTTCTTCTCTTGTCCGTAGAAGAAATTTATGATGACGTGAGAACCTATCTTCTATTCTGCAAAGAAAATGTGAAATTAGAACAAGTGAACAGCTGCTTTTGATTTCAAAATTTTCATGGTGCAACTCGATATATACAGACTATATTGTTTGAGTATTATCAGAGAGTAGTACAACGGAAACTGGAAACTGAGGAGCCTAGCAGGGCAAGAGCAATGTCATACAACACCAGAAGGGCTATTGGGGAAGTCCTAGTGGATATTGCATATAAAAAAAATAAAAATGTGTTGAACAAAAGCATGTTCTAACGAAAGTGGAGATTAAAGCACTACCTGTTTTTTTTTTGAAAGCAGGGATTGGAAAACTAGGACTGACCAACAATCAGCATTTTAACAAGCCAGGTGAGAGGTTTCAAATTCGGAGTTGATTAGGATTCAACTGAATATGCTAGGTATACCATTTTCAAATACTCTGTCAAAACATGAAGAATTGACAACACAACTCAGCCCTTTTTCATGGTGTTTATGCCAAAAAGTGCAAAAAGGCAAAAACCAATCAGCCAGCTCTAGGATACCTTCACCCAATTCACAGCTGGGTTTTGTGGCTACATAAGATTGTTCAACACTGTTTATCGCTATAATCTAACTGAAACGAAATTACTAATGCTGGCAAAAAAAAAAGTAAAAGGTCTTTCAACCGGACAAAAAGGAACCAAAGGCCTATGCCCCACAAATTGTATACAACATGCAAAATACAGAACATATGTAGTGTGACCAGTATAAATAAATGCAAAAAAAAATCAATCATAATCATTCCAACTAATAAATGCAAAAATTCAATCATAATCATTCCAACTATTACCTTGATGTCACCTTGTAGTATGAGTTCCATGCAGCAAGGGAATATGGATGCTGCTGAACTACATAGCGGACATAATTAAAGCCATGTCTAGGGTCTGGAGCTCTATAAGCTATTTCTGCAAAATTGCAAGAACAATAATATCAAGTCAAACGAACTGTCATAAATATTACCAAATAACCTGTCTCGATTTTCATAATATAATAAGAAATCGATGAAGTGTCAGTGCGTGCTACTCAATCACTCATTAAGAGTGTCAACAAAATGACACTAATATAGTTGCAATTGGCAACCAGATTCACTCATACAATATCACCCTGGTCTCATTCTTTACCATTTCCTGCCCCAGCAGCACCTCTCCATTGGGCCTACCCGCCACTCCTAGGTACAGCCAGAACATAGCACTTACGGCAGAAGGCATGGGAATTCCAATGTGGAGAACTTCAAGACCAGCTCTGTGTCCCACATCAGTTAACTTTTATTATGAGGTGTGAGGTCATTCTGATGGTTGCAAATCACATAATTGAATGGAAGTTCCTAGTTGCAATAGTTGCTTGTTTGGTTTTCCCACACTGCCAAATTCTATATGTTTTTCTCTAGCTGTTTGGTTAATTGCCACAATTCTGACGTGATAGTCTTTTTGCCCTAGAGCCCCCTTTCATACACCTGTATGCCTAAGGTGTGGCCAGCAATTAGTTTTATTTACCAAACCTTTTTTTTAGAACATGCAGGAGATCTGCGATTAACCAAACCTTTGACAACATGTGAAAGGGAAAAAAAATTAGGAAGGTTCAAACCCATCACTTCTTGACATCCGTATGGATGGATGGTGAGCTTACATCAACTGGGCTACTGCACTTAGATGATTAGAAAGGGAGTTAACTTTTTTCAGAACAGAGCAAAGGATTTGATTCTTTTACTGGACCTTTATCTGGGTGAGCCAATCTGTCACATTTCCCAGACTGAAGCAAACCATGTTAATAGACAGTTTGGCCCAATCTGACCAGTGGAAAGGATGATCATCACATGGGGAAAAAAGAGGTTAATCATTTGAAATGAGAATAATGGAAATGTTGGATCAAAAACTGAAATCTATAGTATGTCGTCAGTTACAATGAACTAACTGCATGTAGCATTTTATCAATTGAATAATACATAGAGCTGGGAATAGATCTTACGAGCACCCAAGGATCTGAGCTCCTCTTTGTTCTCATCAGCGAGAGTATCATTTCCAAGTTTAAGAGTACGGTTGATAACTTGTAGAGCCTCCCAGTATCGGTGAAGCAAAGCTAATGTTTGGCAAAGCTACAAAACCAAGGCGAAGTTAATAGCCAGAGTATGATCAGAAAAGCAGCATCAAGAAGTGAGCTATGTCAATGTAGAACAGACATCATGGAAACAATCAAACAGTTGGCCAAAATAACAGGGTACATATAAAACATGCCTGCTATTATGTAGAATCTTATTTTACCATTGCACATTAAGCTATGAGCACTAAAATGTACACCACAACTTAGTGTTTGTGATGTAAGCAGTATGTCTTTGATGGGGCAATCACAATAGGCCTATAATGGTGAACTAAGACACGATTTACTGAGGTCCACAAACTTGCATGGATGTGACATCTAGGTCCTTGTACTCGAATTTAGGTGTGGTGGGTCCCTAAATTTGCATTACAGTAGCACTTAGAACCCCATAGTTGTAGGCATATCAATTTCCAAGTCAACTAATGTTTGTAGTTGACATAACCTTGCAAAGACTACCAATGTGAGCAGCTCATGCATGTACAAAATTAATCACAAGCCGGGAATAATTACATCTCCAATTCCTTCAGTGCAATACCTCAAAAGCTCAGAATCACAGCTTCAAATCAAGTACGAGAGGGGATTTAGAAATACAAAGAGGCAAACATTAGTGGTTAGCACCTAAAACTGAACACAGTACCAGCAAGATATTCGAATATGATTATATGAATAAGGTGCGAGGAACAAATGGAACCGAAACTTATTTAAGACTGAAATTGTGCTGCAAAGGGCCTACAGTCTATTAAGTAGGACTTGCTCAAAATGTTATGAATAAAGCGAAGTGTCAATTGCAAAATAAAACATTAGCAAAAAGGGGTAGGGAAAGGCATCTGCCAGGTACGGACATGTAACACAAGTTGATGGTTCTCTGCATTCGTAAGTAGACCAGATATCGGAGGTATTTGCTTCGACCTTTGCTAAAAATATCAAACAAGGAAGGCATGAGTAATTTGGTTTGGGGAAGAAATACTTCCAAGTAGAAACACCAGCATAGAAGGAAACAGATACCAGATCATCTTTTATCGTATCTTCATTCGAAGCTGCTCTTTTCTCTAGCAACTTCTTTGCTCTGCTTGCCTTTTGTCTAGTAAAAAGTTTAACAAGCGTCAATACAAACACAGAAAAAAGATACGTCAGGCAAAGGTGAGGTCAATAATAAACATGGCCCTAAGTAATTGTTGAATGTAATCAAATCAGAAGGCAGCATGATAACTGATAAAGAACTAAAGACTGGTGAATATAGTACATGAATTCACAGTTGCCACTTTCCTGGCATCTGGGTCAAGTGGAGGTCAAGATATAAGGTCATGGGACCAGGTCACGGGTTGCTAAAAATGTGGGCCATATGGGGGTATTAGTCTTCAGTATTCACGACAGTAGTGCAGGATGCAGGACGTGATCCTCATGAATTAGTGACCGAATTATCAAGCAAGTAGTTACAATATGATCCAAGAAAATTTCTACAAAAAAGACAACAATAGCAAAGGAATAGCTAGGAATAGATTGTTCTAGATTGTGTGCATCATCAGAACTGACATGGAACTCCACCTGCTACCATGCGTGCAAAATACATTTGTGGACTGTGGTTCTGTGTATTCTACCTAAAAGGCCAAAGCCTATTTATGGCTCTCAAACTATTCCCAACTCCTTTTTTCATCCTTAGTTTCTAAAACCACGCAAATAACACCTTACACCCTATTCTGTGGTGGTTTTTGTTGATAAATATTTTCGGTTGCATGGACTTGTGATAAACTAGTCTGATAAAAATAAAAGATAAGTAAATTGCATCGCCGGCACACGAACTTGTCAGGTGGGTGCAATCTAGTGCACGAACTTGTAAAATGCTCGTTTTGGTGCATAAACTTGTCTGGTGCGTGTGGAGGAAGGCGACACGGCTAATCTTATTGATTTAGGGGCTGATTAGGATACGATGTAAACATATATCTGAGAAGGTTGCTAGACATATACCTCTTCAATAAAAAATAGAATAAGATATAGTGATAGTAGAAAAAGATTAAAAAAACTGAGCAATGATATAAGGGTTAGAAATATACGAAATTCATCATTTCCATGATGAATGATAAAGTAGAGACCAAATTTATAAATATTGCATGTCTTATACATACTCACTACTATGCACGTAATATCTTAATAAACATCAACTTCGTAAATAACATTGCCAAGTTATTTTTATCCTCGTTTGGACAAACTAGACAAGTTCGTGTACTGAAACGAGTATTTTACAAGTTTATGTACTAAATTGCACCCACCTAACAAGTTTGTGTACCACTAATGCAATTTACTCAAGATAAGTAAATTATGAAATAATAGCATGCTTACAACTCTGCCGGTGATGCTATTGGCCTTAATCCTTGAAACACGCTTTCTGGACGTTGTTCAGCTAACACTTTGGCTCTTTCATATAGAACATTAGTTGGAAGTTTTTTAGCTTTCCTCACCTGATTGAAATGTCACAGAAAATACATAACATGACCTTAACACATTAAGCTTCATACCCCAAGAGCAAACCATAAACCGCTGGGCATTTAGACATATTGTTATCAAGAAACATAAAAATAACTTGTATATCTCTACCACATATTAAAGGAAGAATAAACAAAGATGTATGAGAGGACCACATCATCCTATCTCTCCACCACCTGTTATTCATCCATTAAGGGCAAATAGAAAAGCACTACATTGCAAATAAAATTATCTAGAAAAGCGTAAAAGTGCACAATAGAAAAGTGTAGGTTCCTGAACCTACCATGGTTGCCATGCCATGTGCCAATGTGTACCCCGTTTGGTCAACCAAAAAAAGCATTACACGTATATAAAATTTACAGAAAAAATAGTTGCTTCATAGTCAACACATGAACAAAATCCTAGTTTACAAAATGTCAACTCAACTATTGCAGTAGTACCCAAAAAAAAAAGTGCCCCAAGTCTCACAGGTCTACACAAATTCTGTATTAAAAAGCAACACAATTTGATCTCATAACAAGAAAAATATTTGGAAGAACAAACAAAATTATTAAAAACTAACACAATATTAAACCCAGCATATGTGCCTTCCTAATCAAATTCCTGGAAAGCCAAGAAACAAATCAAACACATAAAGCTATTTAACAAATTTCAAAGTGATTCAACTTCAATTAATCTTAGTAGAAAGTTGTTGTGCGCCTGGCTAAAAAAGAAAAAGAAAAAGAAAGTTGTTGTGCATGAGTTACACAAAAGCAAGCAGGCTGATTTCATAGCTCATATAATTGATAAGACAGTAAAGGAAAAAAACATCAGGTGGAATACAGATCAGCAAGAACAAAAACAAATACTAACACTGTCCCAAAATATAGCAACTTTTCCACCTACCGCTTCTTCTCAACCAATCACAACTATCCCCCATTCAATTTCCCCTATCTCCTTAATCCCCATGAAAAACTCTAGAAGTGCTTATATCTTGGGACAGAGGGAGTAGATGTGCAATCATTGATCAAGTAAACTAAATGTGAATCAATGTCTCTACCTTTCGATTAGCATACTCAATATTCAGTGTTTCAAGAATGGGTATAAGAATGGTGCCCACAAAGTCCTCGAACATGCCTTTATTGTAATATATGTTCGCAAGGTGCATCTTTACTTTCCCATCAAGCCACCATGGCTTCGGTTGATCTGTAGCAGACTTTGACCCTACAAATGCCATTAAAAAAAACTGAACAACGAAAGCAGCTAATTGCATTGAACAAGCTAGGGATAGTATACCTGAATTGTTAGGAGGAGAAAGCAAAACAATAGCTTCGTCACTCTTATCCACATCAACAAAAAGAGAGGATAAAGTTATTCGCACATCAATGTTGTCCTCCATTCTTTGCAAGGCTATGAAAGAATAAAGAAAACTACATCAAAGATTCAAAATTGATAATAATGGAAAAAACTAACTCAAAAGAAATTAAATAAACAAAACCTCATGCCGAGGATGTTGAATTCCCAGCATTAGGGGTAACCGCTCCTTTACATAGATTCAAACCTCACATATGTTCTAAAAATTCTAAATGAATATACCTTCCAAATTCACAATCTTATATGTTATGGACATTGATTCATGGATAGGATAAGGGTCTGAAACAGGGATAAAGGTGAGATCGCTCTCATCGGTGTTAGCCTTGTCCCGATCATCAGGAGACACTAATACATAAGTTTAGGCCTAGCTTGATCAGAGTCTCCTAGTGATCAGGACGAGCCCAGCACCAACAATAGCAATATTGTTTACATCCCAACTTTGAATAATTGTCATTTCTATTGCACAAATCTCAGAGCAATTCAAATGGATAGTATAGCAGGAGTACATGAAAGTCCAGAAATGTGGACTTACATTTCTCAAAAGAACCTTAGAAATACATGTAACACCCCAGCAACTACAATAAGCCTGAGACGTTACTAAACAACCATGAAACAATGCCAAAACATTGAAATTCTGCAGAATCTTCTCACAAAGAAAAGTATTATGGAAGCATCAATATATATATATATGATATAATCTAGAGCCAACAGCATGCTAACAAGTAAAAACAAACTAAGCAAAGTTAGATAAACCAAGTTTTACGTCTCAAGTGTTCATTTAAACTATTAACTCCATAAGTACATCTATTCTTCATAAATATGATAGCACAACATTTAAAAATTAAATAGGAACATGGCGTGCAAAAGTTTTGGTACTCCCAACCTCTAAAGTAGGCATGCCACATCAAATACCTGGAAAGGCTGTAAGGGTGTGAGGATAAATCTCAACTAGCGAACAGCTTTAACAAATTCTTTAAACTACAAGTTCATTAGGTCATGATATAAATACAGGAGTACAAGATCATTTTAAGTAATTGTCATTCTGTCAGACCATAATGAAAACGAAATTTCCGTTTTTCTTCTAGACGAATACGATATTGCTATCTTTTAAAGATACTTTAGGATCTAGGTATTTTACTAGTTAGTCCTGGTAAAGCTCCCAGACGGCGTATTTTTCGAAACGAGGTCCTCAGTAACGAGACATAAAGACTCCTTTTTTTTTCCTTTTTTTTCTTTTTCGTATAAAATCCAAATGAAAACTGAAAAAACAAGTTAAAACTTGCAAATAAACAAACTTCATAACTTCATGAGTGAAAATAAAGCAACATTGTGAGAAGCAAACACATCTCAAATATAACTCCAATTGTATAACTTCCATAGGAGAATTGCAATAAGTTATGTAGAGTGGCTTCCATAGGAAAACACCTATTGCAGTTTTGCTAGATGTTATACAATCGGGGTTATCTTTGAGAAGAGTTGCTTCTTGAGAAGTTATGCAGATGTGGCTTTACTTTCACCAATGAAGTTATAAAGTTTATGTAAAAGTTTAACTTAATTTTTTTAATGAGGTTGCACTCTCGTATTTAAATAATCACCTAATGAACTTGTAGCTTAAATAAACTGTTAAAGCAGTTTGCTTGCTGAGCAATCCTTCTAGGTACTTGATGTGGCATGCTTGCTTGAGGGGATGGGAGTAGCAACACACTTCTGCACGTCATGTTCACATTTAATCTTTAAATGTTAAGTTGTCATTTTAATAAACCATAATGTATTTATTGAGTTAATAGGCTAAATGAACACTTGAGATGTAAAACTTAGTCTATTTATCTTTGTTTAGGTTGTTTTACTTGTTAGCATGTTTTTTGCTCCTGATTATATTACCAGCATCTTAGGCTTGTTGTAATTGCTAGGGTGTTACAATATTTTTTTTATATTTGTTCTGTTTTGTCTTAGGCTTGTTGTAATACAATTTTTTTTTCATTTGTTCTGATTTGTCTTTTCTGTATGGCCATGTCATGTCTGCATTTCTCAGAATCCTAGAATGTCTCGTGACTCTTGTCTATGATTTAAGAAACTCAATCTCCATAAAGTCCATTCAAATAACAGTCACCACCCCTGACAATAGAATTTATTCTCTCTTTTGTAATACCATATTCTAACGATTTTGAGAACAATGCATAGAATCTGGTGTAGGGAATGCAAAGCAGAACAATTATGGAATATTATGAGAATATCAGAAAGCAAATTGATTCAGAAAAGAAGAGACAGGGCATAAGATCCTCTCCATGTAATACTACTTTCAAAGCTCCAACAAAACATTGCTGTGACGGATTTTCACCAGCATTATCTTTTTATGTATATCTTAACTTCTTAAGCAATCTCAAGTTTGCTACCAAAGAGGAAGGGTTTCATGAAGGAAATAGAACAGAACCTTTCTGAAAGTAAGGAATTGCTTTCCTTTTCTCCCCTATGACCATGTAGCATTGACCAACTTTCACATATGAACTACCCTGAAACAAGTTATAGTATATCAAACTAGAGAAGGGTGAAGGAAATAAAATATACATACAACTTCCTCAATCCCTTAATGGACTAGGTGATTGCGATGGTGTGCTTTACACCCATCCTTTCATTTCCAAAATATCATTTATTGATGGATTTCTGTAGGCATGTATTTATAGAATCTTTTATGAAGGATTGCATCCTTTGTACATGTGTAAGCAAGTGACTAGTTGATCCATTGTGAATTAGAATGTTTTCTGTAGATTTTTAAATACCTTTTTTTTATGAAGCATTAAAGCAGACAAAGCCCATTCCCCATTCCTGATCATGGTACCATTATCAAGCCTTCTAAAGAGCATGTACATTCTAATCAAATTTGGAACATTTGTGGCTAGCTAGAAGATCTACATGCTGTTAAAAGCACATTCTCAAATGATTAATTGATTTTTTTATCATATTTATGTTCAAATCAGCTAATAGGAACTGCTTTGCCCCCAACTTCTTTCAGTAGCAGTTGCCTGGCTTCACCTCTTCTGGGTTACGTAGTTACATAATTTTATTCCACTATAACTCACGACTAATGGATAGGTTCAAATTTATTATGTTGAGATGGGCTTCCTTCCCCTTCCAAAAATTATACTCATTGGAATCAAACCAGATGTTTGTTTCCAATTACCAAGTCTATCATAATCGTATTATGCACTTATAGCATTACCTTGATAAGTTATATATGTCAAAAGATTCACAGGATTGAATTGATCTTCTGAAGACTTCACAGCATTTAGGAAAAAGTTCGCTTAACACTTTGTGGTTAGTCAATGTGGACAATGACGTGGTGGGTGGTGTTGCTTGCATGACACACACACCAAAGCATGTTTCACCCAAGTTTGCCCAAGCAATCACTTTCTTTAGTCAGCAAGCCCAGAAACCACCTCCAGTGCTATTTGTACTTCTTCTCCAAGCTATTCTGCTAGTTAAAAAATATTTAACTGAATCCATCACCATGTCACTGTTCTCGTCATCGTCCACATGGGGAAAACACTTACAATACAACTCCAGGGGGGAGGGGGGGTTTCAAATAGTTGTTCATGCGTTGGGGAGTAGAATATCAGGTTTTGTACTTCAGGGGGTTAAGTAGAGGTTTTGGCTTTTTGCCATTATTTATAAATCATATGGTCCTAATTATCATTTGTTCCATGCTTAATTGAACGCTAGAAACATGTAATAGTGAAACAGAACTTCAAAATGAAGCAAATCGGCTACTTACATCATTATGAACAGCAACATCTTCAATCATCAGGTAAAACTTTATTGCATACTCATATTGTCCTAAATTTTCGAGAGTGCTAGCAACCTCCTTGATCACATCGGTGTTATCTTTTGAACGCTCCAGATGCACATTCTGAAGAAACACCTGCACAAGTAATACCAATTCAATAACTAAGAAACTCAAAACTATACGTTGAAGTAGTCTTGGATACAGTATATACACAAGCACAATCTAATCTTGCAGAGTACAACCTGTTATCAGAGCAATTTATAGTCATATCGAGGATTTATAGTGTCTAATAAACCAATGGTAGCAAAAGGTGGGTTTTGACTAATCAAGGATAAATTATGTCAAGTGTGTGCTATAATGGAACAGAACTGGGACAAACCTCGGCATGCTTCATATCTCCAAGATAAGCATGGCAGATTACAGCTTTTGCCTGCAATTGTACTGGCAAATTGTGTTGAGATCCAAACACTATATGTGCTCTCTCAATCAGCCTCAATGCTTCATTATAGGCATTATTTCTCAGATAAAGGGATATCAGTAGATCCAGATGATTCGAGTCGATGTTTGTAGTTTGAGCATTCACATAATCCTCCAATAAATTAATAGCTTTATCAATTTGACCACAGTCCCTGTACATCTGGACAAAAAAGTCACAAAGCAATAAGTGGAAGTCTAGAACTAACTCAGCAGTCCATATTGTTATGTACTGGCTTCAGTGATTAGATAGCAGTTCAGATATATGAGTTCTTAGTTGTGTCATGTGCATCCAGGTGTCTAGAGTCAAGTCTTAGCAGTTGGCATCCAGGAGTCCAAGAGTCTATAGAAGTTAAGAGCCCTCATACTTGCTTGTGCCTTAAGCTAAATAGAGATAAGTGTCCTGTTTGGATGGTGCTAATTGGTCTTGTTTACATGCATGTCTAGGGACCTATATGTTTGTATTCATTGACTCAAATAGAGGCATGAAAGATCATTATATCTGTATCTCCCTCTTGTCCCTGACTACAATGGTTCCCTGCCGCTGGCTACCAGGAAGAACCTCATTCACCAACGCTACTAGCCCATAAAAGCTAAAATCAATTTGTAATTTATATGCACCACAAAATAACGCAAGAATTGTTATAAGCAAATAAACCTGTGCTGCTGCTTTACGAGCAACAATGTTTGAAGGATAAATTCTGACTATCTGCTCGTATATCTCTCCAGCTTTCTGATAGTCATGCAAAGCGCGATATATATTAGCACAATCAAACTTCAGTCCTACATCTTCAGGATCTGCTCTCATCGCTTTTAAAACACAGTGTCTTGCTAAAGCAGCATCTTCCTTTTTCCTGACAAATATAATAAAGTAGTCAATATGGTCCGTTATATTATTATTTCTGGCCATTGTATGCCTTACCTCCAAGAAAAAATTATGCTAGGTAATCAGCAATTAAGGTACTTTGGGTTCATGTATTAACAAGAACTAGAGGCTTCCTGAAAATTAGTATCATAAAACATAAAAGCAAAATTGAGGTCTGAGGATGAGACCATATTACTGAATGCAACATTTGTACTCTGCATAAATCAAGCTAACTACTGTAACAAATTAAAAGTTTATGAATAGAATTAAAAAAATGAAACATAGAAAAAGGAAAAAGGATTAGCATTAACTCACAATGCCATGTCAATGAGTTTCTTCCACAAAAATACATCCTTTGGAGAAACATATGCAGCGAGCATTAGAAAGTTTATGGCTTTATCTAGTTCACCGCACTCTTTATAAATGCTACCAAGTAGATGGTATGAATTTGACAAATTCGGCGCGATCCGCACAACCTCATGTAATATAGGAATTGCCTGCAGTTTAGTAGAGTAGACAAGGTAAAGGTTACTGTCATCCTAATCAAACAACATAATAGAAATTGATAAAGTTAGATTGTAAAAATTTCTAAAAATTCTATAGTGTTGAAATCACATATTTTATGGTCATAACTGCACAGAACCCTATCTTTCATGCCTAATGTTACTAAACCCCAGGTTTCTTGGTCATAAGGTTCTGGAACAAATGAGTCTGTAACAACTAGATTAGTCAAACTGGCAGTGATACTATTTACACTGCTGGTTTTTCTGATGAACCGGACTTTCCTTACATCAACAATTAGTTTCACCTAGCAACCCCCATTGCTACCACAATAAATTGTAGTTTGGTTAAAGGTGGGATTTCACAAAGGATTATGAGTCTTAACAAGCTAAGGCTGTGTATTTGACAACCTGCCCTTTCATTGATCTGTTGGTTGTAGCTGAAGGTTTTGAAATTTCTGAAATACCCTCAATCAAATGGATGGCTGTCTTGTTTGATGATTAAGGATTAACATTACCTGGATTTTTTTTTAATCTTCATTTACTTGAAATTATTGGTATATGTAAATTGACTGCAAAGATAATGGTTGAATGCGGAATCTCATGAATTTAACATTTTCTGTCTTGTTCCAAGAACAGTATATCTGAGCTGTGTTTTATCCAAGAAACCAACAGGAAATCAATAAGAAAACTTATAGTATGTGTTATAAAGCAATTCTTGCAACACAGGAAACTCATCTCCAGTAAGAATCTGACCAAATGGAGCAAAACTCTTAATTGTTCTAATCATCAGCGAGCAATTGCATCTATTCTTATAAACAAAGGAAACTTCTAACTCAAATGGATATAATAAACCAAGCCTATTTTTTGGTGTTCCACAAATCTGTTTCTTCAGAAGTGGTTCATCAGATGCTCATAAGAACTCCAGAATCAGAAATCCGCTCTGTATTTCAGCGACTTCCAATATCTAAACTTGAATAGTCAAGAAATAGCAAGACGAAAAGTCACAACTTTATGTTCATTGATCATCTCCAGTTCCTAAGGAAAGATGGGAACAGGAATTACAACAAGAGTTAAACATGACACACAAGCCTTGGAGAACAGAAATGTGTTCACATGGCATTCACATCTTTGATGAAGATGAGGTGACTGCATGATGGTGCAGACCTTATCACCCCTTGAAACTGCCATGCCCCGATCTAGTTTCTAGAATAACTAAAAAAAGGTTGTTCGTTCTCAATCTTGTTTCCTTAGTAAAATATCCTGCCTGTTACGCTTCCTAGCCAAGTTTTCATGCCTAGCGCACCTAATCAATAGTTAGGCACAGAGCCCCAGCCTGCCACCTGACCAGCGCCTAGTACTTGGATTAACACGACTACACAAGATTATAATCAAGCATAAGCAGATCAATTACTAATAATCCTTGTGGAGACCAGCTCATATAATCTTTGAAGACACTGAGAACTTGGACAGATTAAGGTGAAAACAATTCCAAAGCATACTCCATAACAAAAGTTTGTACCAATAGTAGACAACGAGGTCAAATGAACATGCAAAATTCCAAATCATCCAGCTGATCCATTTAGTGATCATGCAACTTATGAATGACAAGAAGAAAAAAGAGAACTTCCAGTCTTTAGCTAAATCAGAAGCAACAGTCACAATATTGCCACTAGAAAAATTGAGTTTGCCACAACAACACAAATACACAATAAACGTCCTTCAAACCACTTATCCAAACATAGAGCATGTAATTAATATCCCCCAACAACTATTGATTAGACTAAGAAAGATAGAGATTAGACCTCCTTAAATCTGCTCTCTGTAAAAAGCAGTGTGGCATCACCCAATTTTTTAGTAACTTCAGGACTGTACTTATTCCTTGTTCCTTTCTTTCTTCCCCTTTTCCTGGCCTGATGAAAATGAAAATATAAAAAGTAAAAAATTATGTTGATCACTTATGAACTGCATTGAGAACAACACTCAATCTCAAGTGTAAATTAAAACTTAGGCATTTACACCAAATATTTTCCAAATCAACTCAAGAATAGTTTCTACAAAGATTTCATTTCTATAAGATTCAAGACAAAAATATACTTGTGTTGTGCACATCGTAGTCAATGCTACAAGGGAATTTTTTTTGCATCATTTGTGCTGACAAATTAAAAAAATGGTACCATACATCTTTGGACCTTCTTTTCCTACGAAGGCCAAAGCCTTCCATTAGTTGGTCAAACACAGTCGCTGCTTCCACTTCTGAAAGCCCATCCTGCCTTGGCTTCTTTGAAGATGCATCCCTGGATGATGACCAAGACATTGAAATGTATACTCAGGAAATGCAATTGCTTTGCAACACGGTATGTGATGAGGAGGTGATACAATGCCTGGAACAGACAACTTAAAACAGAACGCAAAGACAAAAACAAGCTTTAATTATACTTCGCAAGTTCAAAGATCATGACATGAGGAGAGGTGATTGATAAAACTAAATAGAAAAGAAAAAAACAAAGATATATTTTAAGAAGAAATGCACGATTTGCTCATGAAACCACTACTAGACTAGAAGATTAGAGTATAGAAAAACAGTAGCATCAGTGGAATTACACCAAACTGTAACGAAATATAATTATAAAGCTACTTAGCAAAGAGAAATTATCTTAGGGAGCAGGTTCAACGAGATCACCTTTCGGTTCGCTCCTCGGCGAGGGCCTTGCGCTTGCGCGCGGCGAGCGCCTCGTAGTCATGCACGCCGGCGTCGGGGGCACTCCGCTCCGCCATCTCCACGCACTGCATCGCCTCCTCGGCGTCGCAGAACTCGTACTCCTCCTCCTCCTCTTCCTCTTCCTCCTCATCCCCGTCAGGGTCCTCCTGCCCATCGGCCCCCGCCTCCGCCCCCGCCGACCCGCGCCCTAGACGGCGCTCCTCCTCCGTGTCCGACATCACCGGAGTGCGACGGAATAGAGGGTTCGGCGCAGCAGCGGCGAGCTACCGGGGCCCCGGAGGCCGGAGCTGCGGTTACCAATGTTAGTGAAACCTAGAGGCGGGAGGCGCGGTGGTGCAGGCGAGACGCCGGGGAGGGAGAAGACGAGAGGTCGACGGCGATGCTGCGGCGGCGGAGGACGGCGGCGGCGGCGGCTGGCTAGTGTGGGGGCGGTGCGAGGCGGGGGAGAGCAAATATGGGCCGGATTTAGTGGGCTTATGGGCCGTAAAGCCATGCGGATTGATGCGAGGCGCCAGATCGGAATGGTTTAATTACTAAGTTGATCGAAAATATTTTAATCTTTTAAAAAGCTAAAACACAACCAAATCATCTTCATGAAACATTTTGCTACAATGTATGAAACAAACGGTTTAAAAAAATCGGGTGTTGTTTCACCATATATAAAACAATGTTTCAGCAAATAGCGAAAGGATGTTTTAATTCACGGCAACATTTAATCCATACAAAGTGAAACATTATAAGTACACTTGCTGAATCATTGTTAGCGGAACAAAGATTGAAATAGATTCCCTTAGTAGAGAGTTTTCATAATATGTGGGTAATTTGTTGCAACGGGGCACGTGGTGGGAACGGCACGGAGGCCCGGGAGGCGCGGGAAGGGGCGGACGCCCGATTTTTCTGGCACTGATCGGGTGCCTGATCCCTAGCATTTTCGAGATTGATAGCCTCAACGGATCTTCAAGTGCTCATTCGGAATTCGGAATGGAGAAGCAACAGGGAAAAATTGAGGGCTTTTTTTAGTTTGGAGGACAAAAATAAAGCTCAAGAATTAATTTTATGTGAGTGTTATTCGTTTTGTATAGGAAAAATTACGAATTACCCCCTAACTATTGCGACAGTATGAATTACCCCCCTAACCACAAAGAGAAAATTCCCTTCATACCCTTGAAATTTTAGCCAATCCTTTCTATGCCCCTGAATTTTCTTCACTCCCTTGTATACCTCTGAATTTTGATTTGGATCCCTTCCATACCTTTGCCGTCAATTGACCGTTAGTTGACCGTTTAATAGGTATAAAAAGTCAGTTTTACCCTTTAATACGTGAGGAATATGTAGAAATTTGTAAACTATATTGTTGGTAGTATAGAAATTTATTGTGTGATTATAATATTTGTAAGTTTGTTGTACATAGAAATTTTAATATATATTAAAAAAGTATGTGTAGCATTTTTTCTAAATGATAGACATAGTTTTGGAAAGCATTCCTATATAATATATACAACATGAAAAAATGTTCAACTACCATAAAAATGCTACATATACTCTTTTAATAAGTAAATAAATATTAGTTTTTATGTCATTATGTAAAAATAAACTTAGCCATGAATAATACCTCATACAATAAAATCATAAATATAATAGTCTTATATGACAAAATTATACACTTCAAACAATATAGCTAGTCTACAATTTCCAGATTTCCTTCATGTGTAAGGGCAAAATGGTCAGTTTCATAGAAATTAAACATTCAACTAACTAAATAGGCATGAAAGGGATCAAAACCAAAATTCAGGGGCATAAAGGGGGTGGGCAAAACTCAGGGGCATAGAAATGATTGGTTAAACTTTCAGGGGTGTAGAAGAAATTTTCTCAACCACAAAACCAGACATATTAAACCTCGAACTATTGTAACCGGACAAATTACCCCCCCCCCCCTCGACTCAATCCAGAGTGGTTTTGATCGTACGTGGCGCCGATGTGGAAATCCAATCAGCAAAAATAAAATAAAAAATATAGGGCCCACAGGTCATACTAAGCCCTTCTATCTGTGTGTTGTTGGCGTTGGAGGCGGCAGCGAGCAGCAGTGGGCGCGGCTCTGGTCGGCGGCGGGCGCGGCAGGGAGGGGGAACCGGTCGGTGGCGACGGACGCGGCTAGGCGAGTGGCGGCGGGCTAGGCAAGGAGGGAGAATCGGTCGGCGGTGAGCGGCGACGAGTGTGGCTGGGAGTGTGCTCCAAGCGACGACGGGAGCGGCGGAGAGGAAGCTTTGGTCGTCTTCCCCTCCGATCTCCCTCCCCTCCCACCCCCCAAATGGCGGATCCCGGTGACGCCGCCATGCGCGCCGACCTCCCCTTCAACCTCCACCTCCATCTCCATCTCCACGCCGCTTCCGCCGTTGTCCCATCGAGCCCGCCACCAGTCGGAGCCGCCCAGTCACGGCCGCCACCGCTCACCACCCAGCTTCGACCACGGCCGCCGCTGTGCGCGGCGCCGCGTCGTGCGTGACGCTATGAGCACCACCGTCCACGCCAACTGCCTGCCTGCCCGCCCCCGCCCACCGCTCGTCCGCGTGCTGTCATGCGCACCATCTTGCGCCGCCGCCCACCTCCAGCTCCAACGTGTCGGCCTGTGAGAGAGTGTGTGTGAAGAGAGATGGAAGGGGAGTATGACAGGTGGGTCTCACATTTTTTTTAATAAATAAAATGCTGACTACATTGCCACACGTACGCCACATAAGACAAAACCGCTCTAGATTGGGTCGAGGGGGGTAATTTGTCCGATATTGAAAGTTCAGGATGAGCAATGTCTGGTTTTCGGGTTCAGGGGGTAATTCGGTCGACCGCGATAGTTCAGGGGGTAGTTTGTATTTTTTCCTTTTATTTTTATATGAATGTAAGTATAGTAAGACTAAAAGAAATTTTCTTTCCTATAAGTCGTAGAAGTGTGCATGCATAACTATTTCTCTATTTTTCACTGTAGCATTACTCGGATCACTGAAAATCGGTTCTATACGTTGGAAAATTTTCTACCCTAGCGATATCACGGGAAGACCACAGGGAATAAACCTCACTAGGCTATGTGCAGTTGTGTCCAAAATGCTTGGGTGGGATAGTAGCTACTAGCTAGCCTCACGTGAGTATTGTGACTCGCTCTGGAATTCACGCCTCAGCTGGACGGACACAGCCACAGGAAATGTCAAGAATCAAAATCAAATGCAAAATACTGCATAATTCAAATCAGAACAATTCGGAACTCTCCTAAAAGCAACCAACTAAATACTGTATTTTAGTTCAGACAGCGGATGCAATTGGCTTCAGTTTTGTCTCACAGTGGTGAAAGAGATTATCTGCATGTTAAGTATAGGGAAAATATCTTCGTTCCTGAATATAGCAAATTACGGCCTCATGGAGAATAAGCGAAACGGTATATTTACAAACAAAAATAATTTATGAATAAAACTTTTATATACGTATTCTTAGCGATCTAAAAGCAAAGGCTGAAAAATAAACTTCGATAAAAAAAACCCTAAAATCAACTTCAAATTTAAAGTTGAAAATTCAAATTTTAGTTGATAAATATAAGTATAAGCGAAAAGATAAGGCCATTAGTACTGATGGGATGTAGTATATATACTAGTACTTATTATTTTAAAAAAATATGTGACTGATGGTGTGTTTGCGAGTGACCAGCATAATTGTAGTGTAAGTTTTAATTAAATTGTAAAAGTAGGATTTGACTGTTTTCTGTTCTTTTGCAAAATGTGGAGCCATGATACAGCTAGTCCCAAAATATTTATCGCTGAATCTTAAAATATGCATGCATAATTTCCATGTTATTCTATTCATATTGTTTGTTTCAATAGTCACACTATAAATTTTGTATAATACACATCATATATGAGAATTAGGAAGTAATTACTTACCTACTAGGAAGGAGATAAGAGAGTAGATAACAATCACAAAGAGAAAGATCAAGCAAAATGACTGAAATCAAGAAAAAAATGATGCGCCATATTTTTAGCTAAACCGATTAATTTTTCTATACTTTAGAGCTTATTAAACTTAGGACCGAGCCTATCAACATTCACAGGGAAATTATTGAACGTGAAAAAAAAACATGTGAACAGAAATACTAGAGCTACCTGCAAAAGGAACTAAACTCATTGCCTTAAAAAAAAGCAATAAACAAACATGAGGCCAGCAAGGCTCTACTAGAGTTCAAGCATCAAACCAAGCACAACAAAACAAGGTATAAAACTATATAACAGTAGCACAGAAAAAAAAAATCTATGGACAAGGCCTACCCAGTACCCACCTCACCCTGCCCTGCCATCCCCCCTTGTGATGTGTGAATGTCTCTATCTTACTTGTGATAGCCAGTATCCTCACCTCACCCACAGCCCACCAATCACAGCACTCCTTTGTATTCTCTCTCCTACATGCACTCCCCTCTACAAAACCACAACCAGCATTTTTTTCTTTTTTCACAATCCCCTTGACAGCACAGAGGCAACAGCAAAACACACTCTCATCAGTGTCAGGTCTCCACACCACACCCAAGTACAGGTACACACAAGACAATCCTCCCACTGAACTGAATCCCATCCACTCCTTTATCATCATCACCATTTCCCTCCTTCCCTTTTCCTCCCCTCATTTCCATTTCCAGTTGCAGCAAGAGCTGCCTCCTAGCTCTCTTCCTGCCATCCATGGCAAATGCTTCCCTCCAATCCTTTCTTCTTCACCACCACCATTCTTTCCTTAGCAATGGTATCCATGAGGGCTCCTCCCCTTCTATAATTCTCAAGCTCACAACAAACAGCAACAGCAGCATTTCATTCAAGCTCTTCTCCAACACCACCTCCTCCTCATCATCATCAGTGACCACCACAGCATCAACCCCCAACTCACCGGTGACCCCTGCTCCGGTAACAGCCTCGTCTCCGCCACCGCCTTCGCTGGAGCTCCTGGGCGCCCAGCTCGCCGAGAGGGATTACCGGCAGGCCGACGAGACCACCCGCGCGCTCCTCATCGAGCTCGCGGGCGAGCCAGCTCGGCGCCGAGGGTACGTCTTCTTCTCGGAGGTGCAGTTCATCTCCGCCGATGACCTCCGGGCCATCGACGCGCTCTGGCAGGAGCACAGCGGTGGCCGGTTCGGGTACAGCGTGCAGCGGCGGCTGTGGGAGAAGTCGCGGCGCGACTTCACCCGCTTCTTCATCAGGGTTGGGTGGATGAAGAAGCTTGACACCGAGGTGGAGCAGTTCAACTACAGGGCCTTCCCTGATGAGTTCATCTGGGAGCTGAATGATGACACGCCAGAGGGGCATCTCCCTCTCACCAATGCCCTCAGAGGGACACAGCTCCTGGGCAACATCTTCACACATCCTGCCTTTGAAGAGGAGCAAGAAGATGAATTAGCAGCAGAGGAGAATGACACACCTGATAACACTGGTCAGAGTAAGGATGGCAGCAAAGGGAAGGAGAGGCCAAAGTTCATGAGAGATTTCTTCAAGCCTGACTACTCCTTTTGAGATTGGGGGGTAATTAAAAAGCATGGGAGTTTGTGATGCAGAGATGCTGGTCATGGTGCAATTGATTTAGAAAAAAAAAAAAAGGAAACATGTATCCGTAGTTCATCTGGATTGTTATGTCCTGTAAACATGCGTGGGAAACTGCACAATATATTATGAATATAATTGTTTGAGATGTTTGCTCTGCACATGAATGATGCATGTAAAGAAGAGAGAAAAAAATAGAATATTCTAAGGGATGCATGGATGCAATGCATTTGCATCCTGCACTCTTGCATGTATATAGATTGTAGGGCAATGGGCCAATGGCACTTGAAATGCATGCATTTCCTTTCGATGTGTAACATCCTAGCAAATACCATAGGATGATTCACAGGTATCCATATTCCCTTCTTTTGCATCAACCGTTGCACAGTTTGCAAAATGGCGATTTCTTGTTGGGACAAACAACAGGGACAAAGTTTGCTTTGCTCATCAAGGAGAGCCATCAGTTTTAAGCTGATCATCTCCACTTGTTTCCTGGCAAGTGATTGTGATTGATGTGACCTAGACTGACCTTGGTGATATCTCAGGAATTAAACGAGTCTCAAAAAAATGGAAGAGCCTTTTCAGGGAAAATACCTCTTATGAGTTATGACAGCAACAACTTTTTTACATTTCACGCACAAGGACACAGCCTTCGGGTATGTTGATGTGAACCATCACATGTGAGCCGCTCATCCATCTGCATGTACAAGCATGCTCCTGGATTCTGAAATAGAAGTAAAATAAAATTAGTTCTATGTTTTTACCATGGAAATGATGTGTTATATCAGCAATGTAAAGCATCACTATGTAACTGACATGCAAGTGAACATTGATATTACCTATCTCATGTGAGATTTAATGCTTAAAATTTAAAGTTTCATGTGTTAATAAATAAGTATTGACCATTTTCAAAATAGTACATGCGTAAGGACTTCCAATGATGCAAAGTAAGAAATGTAGAATTCTGGAATGATTAAGAATCTAAATTAGTTCAATAAACAGATAACCATTACAGCACTACTACTACCTAGCAAACAAAAAATCAGTTCATTGCTCATACCAAATTGCTTGGAGCCTCATCTACAACTTGAGCAGGTTGATCTGGTCCAAGATTGCTGAAACAACCACTTTTGCATCTCATATATTTCTGCAAACTGGTTTGAGGAATAAAATATGAGCAAATATATTTCTACAACAAGTATGATCTGATAATGCCAGAGAAATAAAGTGTCCACACGAAAAAAGTTGTGTTGCGCTAGTGTGTGCATGGGAAATTGTTTATAATCAACATGAGGATGTGCTATCAACCTGTTGAATGTAATCCCGTAGCAAGAACCATATGGAAATATGTAGCATGATACTATTTGGCAAGCCAGTATGAAGATAAACACAACCAAATATCTCATTCATAAATAGTGTTGTTAACAGAGTGATCAATTATCAAGTTGATGCTAGCAAAATCTCAGAAAAAAGGTTTTTTTTTTCCTGAAGAATACTGCGGATCAGCAGTTCAGCACAACTTCGTTTTCCAGCCAAGCTGTCACACACGATGTTAAATCCATTATGAATAAACAACTACAGTGCAAAATATTCAGATTCTGCAGGAATTAGGCTGTACTACGCTACTTTCTTAGCTTTCGTAGTTCCATTACAGCATTACATATATTGCAACAAGCAGAATTTTTGTCTCTGAAGTCTTCAATAGTTATGTTGTGCTCCATTTGTTATTTTCCTAGTCACATGTGCATCACAACACGATATGAAGATTTACATGGCTGTCTATAACTAAATTACTCCAACAAGGAAAATGATAACACCACATTCTAATAGAACTGGGAATAGCAAGTAACCACTGTGGCTCTAGGATAGAGCAAAACAGCTAGGAGACAATTGGTCACCCACAAAGACTAACTACATTCAGACAATCGAAAGTTCAAAAAATACAAAATATAGACAAGTTATGAAGTATAAATAAGTGGGGAACAACTTTGTTACATTATGTTTTCAAAGTCAGGCTACAAAAGCAAAATGTGTTGGTGATGGCAGATTGATCATTTGATGGCAATTGAAACTTGAAAGGCCATGTAAATACAAAACGATATTCAAAGGTTTTCAGTTAGACAGATTAAATGCTCCAATTTAAGTAGTCTAATACTAACTCTTTCAAGTTACTTTCACCGTAGAAACATTCCAATACAAATTAAGTTGCTGATTATTCAACCACAGACCAAAAAACTGGGTGTACATGTAATCATGCAAAATCATTATTAAAATATTATTTACTTCAAAAACTCAAGACAATCAAAATGGAGCTAGCTACTTCGACTAGTCAGTTAAACTTCAGTTATTCTGGCAGGATTAGCCATTTTAAGGACAATAAAAAAAACTACAATTTTCTACTGTGACACATAATTTGAAGATATATCATGAACAAAAGAAAAGAGACAAGTAAACTTACATCTCACATTTGTTCAGAACAGAAAGCCTGCTTGGAACACATGATTGTCCTTTTGCTCTGCACACAGAACTACAAGATTCGCCCCTCCTGAAATCAACATTGATATCATAGAGCAATTGTGAGGGTGTTCCATTCACTCTTCCTATATAGTATCTCTTAAATTGGAAAAGGCCTTACCTTCCTATGCTGATGTTAATGCCATCCAGCCTTGGTCCAGAACCAGAATCAGCTGATCCTGCAAAATAATTTTTTATAATCATTTCCCCCCTACGTAATTAAAGAAAATTGCAATTGTACTAGTAGTGAATAAATGGTAGCAGCTTTTGTGCTGCCTGGGCAAGCTCAGCTCAGATTAAGCTCGAAACTTAAAACAACATGAATACAATGAATCTTAGTTCATCGTAAGTAATTAACATACTCAGAGGACCAGGGATGAGGCACTAGATTGGGGATAGGGAGAGGTGATCATGGAGAGGTAGACCAATTCACCTTTCTTGCTTACATCATAACTAATAGCCCACCACCTTATCTCTAATATAACAAGAGATAGAGATCTTAAAAAGATCATATATTCAACCGGACTCATCTTATCTCAATAAACCTTACTAATGCTATCTAAACTAATGAGCATACATCGAACTAGATTACTGTCTAATTCGCTGGTGAATTTCCCAGACCTGCATCCTGTTATGGCCCAATGGACTGCAAGTGTTTTACCAGACTATTGGCCTGCCATAACATGCAAGCGACATGTTCTGATATCTTGGTTCCTTCATTCTGTGAAGTTAAAATACTGTTGTCTCGGTTCTTATTTAGTGTTGTAACTTAGTTTTCCCCACAAAAATGTTACAGGGTCACACATTCTCTCGCCTTGAAGGGGAATGGAGCCCCTGACTTTGTTTTGGACTTGTTGGCCAGTGATCTAGCTGTCACATCCATTTAATGGACTTATTGCTGAAAGAAGGTGATTTACATATAAATACCGGAAAAGATTATGATTTATGTAGTATAGCCACAAAATACAGTGCCAAGGCTCATATCCACCCCTACTGGGCAGTTATGTTTGAATCTCACAGGGTAACTGTAATCCCATCTACCTGACCAATTAATATATCCCTTCATTTCAAAGAACAAGAACTACTTTGAGGGATACAAGGACTGAGGAAAGGATGAAACCAAGAGATAAAGGACTTAAAATGACCATATTACCTAAACTAAAGCACCTTGGAAATATGAGAGGATGAGCAGTGATATGTTTCTAATCAATACAGTAGTAAGACTGAAAAGAATCAACAACTTCACATGAATGTCTTCTATTTTGCAATAAAAAAATCTAAGCTTTATAAAAAGAAACAGAGAGGGCACCGGACATTATCATGAACAGTAATATACCAAGATAGCTAGCATTGTAATATAACCAATCAAAATGTGCATACCTGAAGAATTCTGCTGCAGCAAGAAGCAATGATGGAAGTCACTTGCATACGCATTTTCATGTACCTGGTTGATTAAACAAAACTTTGATTGAAGAAAATGCTGTTTATCAGAACATTCTAGCACATAGATTTTGTGAATTGTTGATTTATAACATGCTAGCATGACAAGCACCACCAGGATGTAACTGCACCCTGAACCTTGGTTCCTTATTTCATATATGGCAGGTAAAAGTGGAAAACCATTTCATAGAATATTATGAACCGTTACAATAGAACACTGCAAAAAAAAAAAAGAACAGTACCACACTTGCAGAACTATGGCGGCATCTTCCCATGCAGAAATCGAAGACATTTCTGTAAGTTCCTGGAGATAAATAAATTGTGAACTCCCAGCACATTCTAGTATGCTACATCCACCAATCGATATCAACGAGATCTTACCAGAAGTAACTGGTCTAGCTACCTTCAACTTCAGCACATCTGTTTCCTTGGTCTGTCCAACATGAGTGCAAAATTTAGGAAACAACTTGCCAAACCCAGGATTATACGTAATAGAGAAAATTCAAACTTACTCTTGAAGGATTTAAGCAGCAAGAAACACAATATTCATAAGAATCACAGCACTGTAAATCGAGTTTGCAACCCCTGGTTGGTGCCATGAAGATTGTTAAATTTATAACTGTACCCATTTATTGCGGTGCAGAGCTGAAAGTGAAGTGAGCAACAAAAGATAAGAAACTCACTGACAGGAAAAACGTGACCCTGTTCTTGGGCAACACCGAGACCATGGATCGATAGATAAGGAAGAACATACATAACCTAAAAAGGAAGTAATTATCAGCGGGGGAAGTCTAGAAGGCAAATACACTGCTTACCAGGCAGTATATGTGAGCAAAATGAGATGGGCAGGGTGTCCTACCATTATCATCTGATATCAGGTGCCGCCCTTGCACAGTGCTCCTGCACATGATGGGTGCTGCAAGACCAATGTCCTTCCTGCACAATATTCAAAATCAAGCCGCATCATTAGATATACTGAAATAAATACTCCAACATCCATCCTATATTCAGGATGGAAAGAAAGCATGAATGGCGTAACAGTTTGGGCACGCTAATAAGCTTGACACACATGGGTCATGGGTTCAAAGGCCACATGATGCCATATACAATGAACTCTGTCCCAGGCTACTCCCAGTTCCAGAATTCAGTTGAAAGCACAATTAGATAAGACAACCCGTTAACTCGTAGTCTCGTACCACAGTATTTAACTGAACACCTGCACTTCTATAACTCTATTCTGCACTTTGTAGAGGTCATGTATTAGTCAGCAAGAAAATGTAGGCACAAAATTGCATTTTGTGCACTGGTAAGGTCTGGGCATTACTAACATTCATCAGGAAACCATGGATGTTAGCAAGGCACTAGTACATACACGAACCCAACAGAGCCACCATTCCTCTTTAACCCAAGCATATTTCTCCCAAATTTTCCCTCCATCCTTGCCAGCTCCATCCATCATTTCCCACTCTTTCACTCCCAATCTAGGTTGATGTGTGCGTTGAACACATAAAGCTCACGATTACAGAAACAAAAGAAAAAAAAAACTTTCTGATTTGGCTAGGTATACATGCCAAGATTTGAAAAAGGATCATCGCCAAGCCGAGTAAATATCACAAGGAATCACCCGTGCGAGCTAAGACGGACGCACAACAATCGGAACGCACCTTAGACCAAACAGCAAACAGGGAGGAAAAAATAAATTCAAATTACGCCGCATTTTCGGGAATGCTGAACGTGGTGGGGGAAGATTAAACTTGAACGGGATCTAGCTCACCGTATGCCGGCGACGAGGCCGGGGAGGCAGGCGAAGAAGGCGGCGCATACGATCCGAGGGAGGAGGTGGAGGAGGGGGAGGGCGGTGGTCGCCATCTCCGTCTTGGTCGAGGAGATCGGGTGCAGAGGAGGACGCAGGACGCCAAGGAAACCTACAAGGGTTTTGATGCAAAGAAAAAAAAAACATGTGGGCCATCTACGCGCAAAAAAAGAAGAAGAAATTCCAGTTCAGCTTTTCGACGGAGCGCCGGATCCGGATCCCTAGACTAGTATGATATTTTTCCGCCAAATGATTCGCACCGTTTTGCCAAACTTTTTGCCATGTTTTGACAAATTTTAATCAAATTTCGATTGCCTTTTACTCCCTCCATTATCGTCATATTTTGGCTTGACACCAAGACTAAGGCCCTTTTGTTTAGGTCTAGGCTTATTGTCTTAAACTTTTAAGCCGGCTTAGTAGCTTATATGATTTATAAGCAGGTGGATTTAATATCCTAAGTTTAGAGGTGGAGTCATACATCTACCTCACATAAGTCAAAAAAGCTTCTTCAACCTAGCTTTTGACTTAATAGTGTTAGAGTGGCTTATGGTTTCAAAAAAAGTCAAATGAATAAGCTGCTTGTTTGTTTAGGCTTATACTTTTTGGCTTATAAGTTGGCTTATAAGCCTCAGCAAAGAGGGCCTAAGAAAAACAATCGTGCTTATAATTCTACTCGTAAGCGCTTATCAGCCAACGGGCCATGCATGCCTCGGCCCACGCTTCGGCTTCGCGTATTTAGCGGCGTGTGCGGCAACACTTCAGCTTCACGACCGCAGCCACCACCCCCAAAACGCTTCGGCTCTGCAAAAATCAACACAAAGTAGATCAAGTACATGAACATGTGTTAAAAATTAAAGTAGCAATTCAAAAACACTATCAATATGCCTAGATATATTGTTTTCATATAGGAAAAGGTAAGTGATTTTCAACATGGATAGTTTGACATCTTCAAACTCCTCATTGTCAGAAGCCTTGGCAGGAATCTTGGCAAATCCAAATCCATGATCATAGCCATGGCTGATCCAAAGTATGTCCATCGCTGCGTCGTTCATGTCCTGATTGTGATCTCCATATAAGCAAGGAACCATGATAGGAAGCATCAAAGTTGAGACGTGATGAGCCTGCTTGTGCTCACCTTGGTGCCATGGTGATGTAGAAGGGCATGTGCGACGTCTATATCCATGACTACCTCGCATACAACCACGACGACATTGAGCTCGCTCTCGGGGACAGCAACTACGACACCATTGAGCTCCATCTCGGCCACAGCCACAATCATCGCCATTGCTTCATCATGTGTGCCCAGGACGATGTTGACCTCGCTCTCGGTCACAGCAACAGCAGCGTCATGGAGCTTACTCTCGATCACATCATGGACCTCGAGCTTTGCCACAGTCACCGCTTAGACTTCCACGGCGACAATATCTGCAACGTCGTGGAGCTCCCTCTCAGCCATGATCACATCTTCCTTGCGTACGGCCACGACGGTGTCGACCTCGCTCCCGACCACATCAACAATAGCGTCCTGGAGCTTGCTCTCCATCAACCCATGGAGCTCGAGCTCGGTCACGGCCACCGCTTGGACGTCCACGGCAACTTGGGTATCAGGAAATTCTGTATCACCGGCAAAGGAGTCCTCCACGACATGAACCTCGTCGAAATCATACAAAATCACCTCGGCACCATGGTGTTCGCTTAGAGAGTTCACTTCCTCGCAAGTCATGGCATTGGAAACGTATTGCTGTGGTTATTAGGATGGAGCGAAGCGGAGAAGAGTTTGTCTTGTAGAAGAATAGGAAGGAGCAATTGATCTACTCGATGATCTGTTGCTGCGCACGCGGAGCAATGGTGCAATGCATTGGCCGGGCAACGGCGCGTAGTACTCCCGAGACACATGTGCAGTGATGGATTAACTCCATGAGCAAACTGAAATGGCGAGCACGGAGTACTATTTTAAATTTGCATTCTCGAATACCTTTGAAATTTCAATCGAGATCTACTTCCGTCCTGCGTTAAAACCTCAAAATTTCGTGGTTAGCTATATGCGGTATAACTAATGAGGAATTATTATTATTGATTGAGCTGTGATATATTTTAATAAGAATACATTAACAATATCATAACTTATGAGTTGCATTTGATACCTATCAACCATGTGACACACTTGCACGCTATTTTCTAAATACAAATGTTGATTTATCGCGTGCCATGAGGCTATTTGCTATCATTAGGTCATGCGACTTGTGAATGTTTCATTTGGTATGTTTGTTTGTTTATATCCGTTCTATTTGTGTTTTGTCTGGAATTATGCATTAGATGACATAAGCTTACTAATATCTGCCAGATCTATTACAACCCTATGCATAATTTTACTTATATCCTTAGGCATCAGAAGAAATAGAAACTATATGAAGTTGGCCTGTGTCATATAAATGCAACATAGTTGTCCCATTTAGTGTAAACAACTTGAGTGACACATGCTAGATTTACACATAGAGTGCCTAATAAAATTAATGATACATTAGGATAATTTATAAAAACTAAGGAATTAAATTGCACCTATCTTGCAACTGGAAATATCACAGTACATTTTAAGTTGTACAATGGCAATATGCATATATAAATTGATCTTTTCATACTAACTCTGTGATCTTTAGGTTAAAGTAGAGTGACATTGGGTTGGGGTGAACTATATAACACTATATTTTGGCTTAGGGCAACAGTGTAAAACTAAAGTATAGTTTGAACCTGGTGTGAGAGAGAAAAAATAATGTATAATAAAATCCACAAATGTATATATATTGATATCAAGTTTTATAATAGACATAGATTACTTTTCATACAAGTCATCTATGATAATCCAAATGTCTCGTGGCCTAAAGAATTAAGTTTCTAGTGTTTGATATTTTTTTAAAAAAAAATCATATGACTCATATGAACTAATCACACCCACATCACAATTAATTTCTAATAATTATACGTCTGACCTTATTCTGAAGATTAACCATCAGCTTGACTCAATTTTCTTTAACTTTGCTCATCTCTTTTTTAAAATGAAGCTGACATTTTGCCCTATTCTAATTACAACGTGGGGGAATACAATTAGAAAATAATTTAGAGAATGAAGAAAAATGAAATATCCCTTGACATAAAATACAACTCATCCTTCAAAATATCGTCAAACATACAATTTTCCTTTAATTTTTTTTACCTATTCTCATCATCGTCAAAATAGCTTCTAGAGTTTTAATCGCTAACACGACCTCCACTAATTAACAAAAGGAAATAGTAATACCCAAGCGAAAAGGAAACAGAAATACCCAGCATGAAAAAAATCAGTTGCTATTCGAATATAATAAGTACTCAATGCCTTTTGTTCGATTACAGATAACTAAACCCCGTTGAATTCAATGTTGTGCAAATTCGTTTCAATCGTACTTTACAAGGAGAAGAAGGTACAATGTTCTGAACGTGTGAAAGAACAATGTCCCACGCTGCAAACCGCAGCACCACAAGCCAAGGGCCACGATTCCAGATCAAACGCCACAAACTAAAAAATAAAAAAAAAATCGGAAGAATAGAGAGAGAGAGAGAGAAAAAGAACGATGAGAGCCTCCCCGAGCGCGCCCACCTCCCACGGCTCCGGCTAAAACCCTAGAGCGCGCGCGCGCGAGCGCGGATGCCCCTCGCTCTCCTCGCCCGCGCCGCTCTCTCCTCCACCTCCTCCTCCATCGCCATGGCCACCACGCGCTCCTCCTCCTCCAGGGTGCTTCGTGCCTCCCGTGCGGAGCTCAACCCAGGTGAAACGCTCGTTTCTTTCTTCTTCTCCTCTAGTAGTACCTTTTCTTGGGGAGGGCGGGGAGGAGGAGGAAGCTCTTGTAGCCTGTTTCCATTCATTGTTGCCATTAGGGGTATTCTAGATTGACAGGTCAGATTAGTATCCGAATATATTTGGGCATTTAGGTATTCCTTTTCTGGATAAAAATGTGAAAAAGTTGAGGTATTTCTACCTTGGTGAGGTTATTTCTTGAAATGTGGCAGATAGATGCTTCTTCCAGTCTTTATTGAAGGGTTGCTACTGATGGGAGGGGTGGATTGTCCATTTTGTTTAGTTTCTGTTTATAAAGCTGCGTTGATTAAGTGTTGGAAGTTTTGTGGTGTTATTGTGCGTTTGCTTCTGGAAAGTCATCCTAGAAGGGGAATTTTAGGAAGGGTCATCTCATGATTTTTTTTTCTTTAATTGCCAACGAAAACTAGCTTTTAGTATGATATATGTATTTTATTCTGCTTGTTCTTGATGGAAAAAAAAATGAAATGAAAGTTCCTGATTCGATAACAAAGGCGCGAGCAAACATGGTGGCTAGGTGAGACCTGCTCAGAGAAGCCTCACAGCAGAGGTTAGATGCAGTTTTGGGAGGTCGGTCAACTGTTATGCACCCATTTCACTTGTTTATGTGGTTTAGCAGCCCTTCCTAGATACATTTGTGCTTCCCTTCAGCCCTCACATGGTCTGCAACTGCAAGAGGCAAACCACAATTACGAATTGGGGCCAGAGGAGCTCACAATAAGAAGCATAAAGTCCAAGGCGGAGGCTGGAGTTAACTGTGTTGACCCTGATGGAGATTTACCACTCATGGTTCTTTGCTCGAATGCTTGGGCAGCTTTCCTCTGTTTGAGCAACGAATGGGTTGGGTTCCTTTGCTTTTGTTTTGGGTTGATGATATTCATGCGTTTCTCAAAGTGTCCAATTATTTATCAGGGCATTACTCACATAACATAGTTTGCTTGATGCATGTTATTTCCTGAAAGTTCAACTTTAATTCCCATGACTTCAATGTAGTCGAATTACCTAACAGTTTCATACTGACTCTGGGAAAGTATACATCCATTAACTGCCAACTTAATCTATCTGCCAACTCTGGGAAAGTACATATATGGATTTTTAAAGCAAGTTTAGTGTAAATGTGTAATTGATTATTTGGTAGTATGCCTTTTCAGGTGCTAAAGAAGTGAAACGTGAATCCAGTGTTTCTTTTGACTTGACCAAAACTGAAGCGGTTGCTTCCATGAGAAGCAAAAATGTGAAACGGGTGCTTGAAGTAACTGGGGAAAATATTAAGAAAGAGGTTGGTGTGCACCTCTTCTTGGATTGGTGATGTTTTTCTCTCTATCAATGAAACAAGGCAGAGCTTCTGTCTTTTTTTTTTCAAAAAGAAGAAAGGAAGACGTGCCTACTGACCAAACACCAGGCCATGTCTTTGGTAGTTCTATTTTAAAAAAGTTTCCTGCATTTCTATTATTTCTGTCGGCTTTTTTGTCCCCACAATTTAAATTCTAGTCTCCTTAAGACCAGTCACTCTAAGATAGTATGATGTAAATACACCTTTTCTCTTCAACTGCAGTTGTGCATTTAGCACTCACTTTAGTAGTTGCTCCTTTTCTGCCCTGTTGGTTGGTGAACTGAACAGAACAATTTTGCCCATATGCAGGTTGATATCGTTCCTGACATTGAAGATTTTCGATATGGCAAGGCATCGCCATCTTTAGGTAAGAACTAAGAACAGTTATACCATATAGTTACCAAATTATAATATTCTTAACACTTTGTTCCATGTCTTGCAAAAAAGCTTACTTTTGCTTTCTTCAGTTAGGTTGGAGAAAAAGGTGAGAGTTTCATCTGCTATAAAAGGTACTCAGAAGACTACCTGATGAGAGAAGCTATGCATTTCTTGTTTAACATCTTTGTAATTTTCTTGTTATGTGTTAGTTTCTTTCTCTGCCAGCTGATATCAAGTTAAATCTGTACAAACAATATTGACAATACTTTACTGAAGTTTTCAGTTATATATTTTATATATTGCTAAAATGTTTATGCTGCTCTGGATTGCAAAAATAAACAATCACTAGATTATGACTTGCATCATCTTAACCAGAAGGCAATATAGTACTACATATTGGTTCATACATGATGGCTATTCATTCCTCAATTTCCCACACACATCATTCATGGAATATCTAAATCTGTTGTTAAGTTCAAAATTTTCATTGCATGTTCACCTACTATTAACAAAAATAACAATCCTAGCTGCCAAAAAGCTGCCAGGTTGGTAGCAGAATGTTCAACATCAGATTCAGTGTATCCTTGTGACACATATTAGTGATTATGTGGCCATTATGGCATTATCAATTGCTCTACCGTTTAAACACAATATATGTCAAGACAATGATTTGTTGTCTATTGTGTGAAATTTTTTTCATACATTTATGCAGTTGGAGCTCCAGAAAATTGGGAGGCAATCCTTAAGGGTATTAAAAACATGAGGTTATCTGGCGAGGCCCCTGTAGATACAAAGGGCTGTGAAAAAGCTGGTTCTCTTCTTCCACCCAAGGTAGGTTTTGTGTTTGCATCATCTTTCTTTTTTTGACCAAATCCTTGCATCATCTTTCAACCTGAGTGTAGTATCTAGTGCAGAGCCTATTTATTGTGGTCAGACCCAAGTTCTCCAAATGCTCATTGTAGGTCTTGCACAGGCATAGTGCATATGTGATTCCCCTATTTTATTGTGCTATGTTGCCATATCAAAATTTTAGTGCAAGCGGTACACTTGTCACACTTCACTACTATGAGTGTTTCCTGCCACAGAAATCATCTGCATATTAATATATTATTACTCCCCCATCCATTTAACTCCATTTTTTCATTGTTAAAAGGTTTTCAGCCAACTACTATTGTGTAACTCTTCTTCATCCATGTAATCATATACACATTTCTTTCCCAGGAAAGGAGATTCGCAGTTTTGATATCAACCATGATGTCAAGCCAAACAAAAGATGAAGTTACACATGGTATGTCTCATGAAGATTTCTTTTTTGGAATTGGTTATACACTATTTTTGCTAGCCTTGTTATAGTTTTCCTATAGCTAAAATGTGAAAAATGAAAAAGAGCATGTGATCTATTCTGATTGGAGTGTTATGCATACTCTGCTGTGCAATGGTTCAGATGATAATATGTTCTTAATAATTGATTGGTAGTACAGAACTTCATGCTATGTGACCATCCTGTGTCTATACCCTTCCATTTGTTTCCCCATTGAACTAACCTTGTCATAAACATCACTTTATGTACCACAACTATGTCTGTTTGCTGCATCTGTACTATATTCTTTCATATAAATGATTATTGTATTTTGGATCAATTGTTATCAGCTGCTGTTGAACGTCTATCTGAGAAAGGTTTACTTGATCCGGATGCTATTGTCCGAACAGATGAGGCCACACTAGCGAATCTTATCAAACCTGTAAGTTGCAAGAACTGTTTGGTGGGAACTTTCCCAACTACAATAAATTACTGCTCTGAACTACCCAATATAAGGATTGATCCTACAAATGTACAAAAGAATATACATGATCTGCATATCACAGTATGGGCTCTAGCAAATGGTAACAAACCAAACTTTGAATGCATGCAATTTAGTTGAAGCATAACCTTGATTTGGACCTCAGAAGACAAGAAGCTAGCTAGAGCTGTACCTGCTTTGTTAATTGTACTGTTATAGTTTCTTGCTGGAAATTACTCAGCTCAGCCTTTGACATCATACTGGTTATTGTTTAATCAGGTTGGATTCTATCAGAGGAAGGCCAAATTCATAAAAGAAGCTTCTAAAATTTGCCTTGAACGTTTTGGAGGGGATATTCCAGATTCTCTGAATGAGCTTCTTGCTCTGAAAGGAGTTGGTCCTAAAATGGCTCATCTGGTAGTAATACTCATTATATAGTCGAAATATAAGCCTATTTAGCTTCACAATCCCTTTTTAATAACAAAAACTAAGCAGGTGATGAGCATTGCATGGAAGAATACTCAGGGAATTTGCGTTGACACTCATGTACATCGCATATCTAACCGTCTTGGGTGGGTTTTCCGAGAGGGAACAAAACAGGTAATTTGTGAGTTATGTCTTTTGTGCCTTTGAAGAAAACAAATTATACATAGGGAACATCCATTTTGTCACTGACAAATTGCCCCTTGTTTACTTTGCTCAGAAAACTACAACACCCGAGCAAACAAGAATGTCTCTTGAGAAGTGGCTACCAAAGGATGAGTGGGAACCTATCAACCCATTACTGGTATGAATCGGTTCTTTTTTCCACCGCTGATGTTCAATTTCTACCATGTAAATAACTACATAAGATAGTGTCATTTGCTTTTAACACTACATATCTGAATCCTACCTAAACTGCAGAAATGTAAGTCTTATGTAAATTGAAATTATTGTTTTTAAAATCATGCAGGTTGGATTTGGGCAAACAATCTGTACTCCACTTAGGCCCAAATGTGACATGTGCGGCATAAACAACATCTGCCCTTCAGCTTTCAAGGAATCATCAAGCCCAAATCCAAAGCAAAAGAAAATGAGGTCATCTTAGAACTTTTTGGCAGGGATGCCTTGTGTACTTTGTGTACATGCATTATTTACTGACCTGCTAGTGCTGGAATGCTCTTCTAAAAGGTTGGCATATTTATTGCCTGGATGACCTTCCTGCAGCCATCTATCATTTTGTATAGCCATTATGTAGCATTTTGTATAGCCGTAATCTATTGAGACAATGGGTAGGGACACATTGATCTTGCCAGTTATTTATTATGGGCAAACAACTGGCACTTGGTAGGAAAAAGCTTTTGTAAACAGTATAACTAGAACAAAACGGAGGACGTTCATCAATTACCCTGCATTTGCCTCTGTTTATTGCAGATTTGCAGTTCTCATGGCGATCAACATTGCCGATCTCTTGTAGAAATGAGAGTTAATCCATGGAAAATGTAAGATATTTGAATAACAAAATGTGTTCAGTTCTCATGGCGATCAACATTGCCGATCTCTTGTAGAAATGAGAGTTAATCCATGGAAAATGTAAGATATTTGAATAACAAAATGTGTTCAAATCAGAAAAAAAAACAGGATCTTCGCAAGCACTAAAATGGGACTACAAGAATATGAAGATAACTTTTGAGATTCCTAACAAAGGAATTAAAGTGCATCAACCATAAAAGAATTGAGTGCGTAAGATTAACTAAGCTATTCCTACCATCTGTCTCTCTACCAAGATGCTAATAATAGGTTTTTTTTTTTCAAAAAAAAAGATAAGAAATACTATGACAGTTTATCCCTAGCTAATGTATACACAAACACAAAAAGATAGTAATAGCTGAAAATGCAGCAGCCGTAGTAGTAATCCTAGACAGTAAACGCCGGCGATTTCAGGTCCGGCAAGCCGGCGCTGCGCCGGCCGACCACGACGACGTTCCCGTCACCGTCGGCGTCGACGATCACCGAGTCGCCGGCGCAGATCTCCCCGGCGAGCATCTTGTCCGTGAGCGTGTCCTCCAGCAGCCGCATGATGGCCCGGCGCAGCGGCCGCGCGCCGTAGCTCGGGTCGAAGCCTTGCTCGACGACGAGCTCCTTGAACCTCTCCGTCACCTGCAGCCCGATCCCCTTCCCGCCGATCCGCCCGGTGACCTCGGCGAGCATGATCCCGGCGATCTCCTTCACCTCCAGCTTCGTCAGCTGCCGGAACACGATCATCTCGTCCAGCCGGTTCAGGAACTCCGGCCTGAAGTAGCGCTTCATCTCCTCCTCCACCATGTTCTTGATCACCCCGTACCCGCCGTCGCCGCTGCCATCGCCGGCGAACCCGAGCTGCCTCCCGCCCTTCTCGATGACGCCGCTGCCGACGTTGGATGTCATGATGATGAGCGAGTTCTTGAAATCCACCGTCCTCCCCTTGCTGTCCGTGAGCCGGCCATCGTCGAGGATCTGGAGCATCATGTTGAACACGTCGGGGTGCGCCTTCTCGACCTCGTCGAACAGCACGACGGCGTAGGGGCGCCGCCGGATCGCCTCCGTCAGCTGGCCGCCCTCGGCGTAGCCGACGTACCCCGGCGGCGAGCCCACCAGCTTCGCCACCGTGTGCTTCTCCATGAACTCGCTCATGTCGAGCCGCACCATGGCCTCCGGCGAGCCGTAGTAGTACGCCGCCAGCGCCTTGGCGAGCTCCGACTTGCCGACCCCCGTCGGCCCGGCGAAGATGAAGCTCGCGATCGGGCGGCGCGGGTCGCGGAGCCCGACGCGGGCGCGGCGGATGGCGCGGCTGATCGCCGTCACGGCCTCGTCCTGGCCGACGATGCGCCGGTGCAGCGACGACTCCATGGCGAGGAGACGGCTCGACTCGTCGACGGTGACCTTCTCCACGGGGACGCCGGTCCAGCTGGAGACGATGTGCTGGACGTCCGCCTCCGTCACCGTCGGCCCCGGCGACTCGCCGGAGTCCACCGCCGCCTTGCTCATCTCCTTGCTCTTGTCGACCAGCGACATGATCTCCGACTTGAGCTCCACCTCCTCGCCGCGAAGCGCTCCCGCCTAATTTTTGTCGAATTCAAATGAATTAAATTTTGATTCGATGTTCTTATATACCAATAAATTTACAGGTTGATTGATTGATTCAACGAATTAAAATTTGTATTTATAAAAGAAAATTACCTTCTCGAAGTCTTGGCTTCGGATGGCTTCGCTCTTCTCTGCCATGATCTTCTTGAGCTTCTTCTCGAGTTCTTTAGCTTCATCAGGTAGCTGTCAATATGGTAAAAGTGGTCAGATAAAAAAAATTGTGAACATTATTAATATGATGATTGTGCACATTAGGATCGATTCATCAAAATATGATGATTGTTTCTACCTGGGCATTTCGCAGCCTGACAAGAGAACCTGCTTCATCAACCAAGTCAATTGCTTTATCCGGGAGGAAACGATCACTGCAAACCAACAAGTCTGTCAGATGAAGGCAGTGAAAAGAGGCACATAGCAAAAAAATTGCTCAAAGATCCACATTTCGTAACTTAAGAAGTCAAAAGATGCAATTCTTACAACACATTTAGAAGAACAAAAGGCGTATTCACTGCAAGCTAAGGCTGTCAGACGTGAGAAGGCAGTGAAACAAGGGAATGGAACAGTTGAATTTATAACTTCTCATGAATCATCATTTCATAACTAACATAAAAAGGAAATAAAAAGATGCAATTTTCAAGACATGAAGAAGAAAAAAAGGCATTCTAAACCTAATATTCAACTAGTTGGTAGTACTATCATGGGATCCAAGAGTTTACATGATCCATTAATCTTAAATTCTGGCGCCTCATCTTTTCAGTCTAGAGTAGCCTTGAAGAAAATTTCAGTACTATGACGAGTAAAAATAGCAGAAAATAAATTAATATACATTGTGAGATGCTTAAAGCCACACTGATTATCTTGCATGAGACCTGCTGCTGTAACAGTTCTGTTATCACAATTCACAAACCTGATGTACTGGTATGAGAGCCGAGCAGCTGCGATCAACGACTCATCAGTATACTGGACCTTATGATGGATCTCATATCGCTCCCGGAGACCTTTGAGAATTCCTATGGTCTCATCAACAGTTGGCTCAGGGACCTTGACAGGCTGAAAACGCCTCTCCAGTGCTGGGTCTTTCTCAATGTGCTTTCTGTATTCATCAATGGTAGTGGCTCCAATACACTGACAGTAACAAAGTTACCTTGAGCACTTGGCAAAAATTAAATGAACTAGAAGCTCATGACTGATTTTATAATTTGACAAGTAATTTTAATGAGATTCCAGAGTAAATATTTTAGTGTTAATTAGTGGACCTGTGGTAACATAACTCAGACAAGGTAACACCGGAGGTATAAAATTTACACTAGAAATATGGTACTTCCCAATACCTTCTCAAGGACTGTGAAAAATTCTAATTTGATAGAAATAAAAAGAAACAGATTTCAATAGGTAGTTATTGTGTTTTTTACAGAGAGGTCAACCATGTACCTGTAGTTCACCTCTTGCTAGCGCTGGCTTCAGGATGTTGGCAGCGTCGATGGCCCCTTCAGCTGCTCCAGCACCCACCAGGGTGTGAACTTCATCAAGGAAGAGAATTATCTCACCATTCTGCTTCACTTCGTCCATCAGCTTCTTCAATCTCTCCTCAAACTCACCACGGTATTTTGTACCAGCAACAAGTAGACCCATATCAAGGGTGATAACCTGGAAAGGATTTCCTACAGTGAGTAATTTTTCATCTCTACTAATGATGTCATCAATTGTTCAGATGTGCATGCAGGATAGATATCAAATCAAGGAAAGTGTCCAAGGTACTGTTTACCATGCTTCCTTTCTGGTAATCTAGAAAGGTAACTCTTCGCAATCTCATAGTGCTCAAATTGTAAATTCTGATCAGTGAGAACTGAAACTACAGTAGAATGCCTAATTATGCTGATAAATTCCAGTTCCATAGATAAAGCCAACATGAACAGGAAGCTTACATTGCTACACATTTTAGCTTGCAAGAAATTGGTAACAAACAAAAACAGAAGTATACTGAGTCTCAAGAGATAGGACGATCACAAACCGTTTTCCCATCGATTGTTTCAGGCACATTTCCTGCAGCAATGCGCTGCGCGAGCCCTTCCGCGATCGCTGTTTTCCCTACTCCAGGCTCTCCAATCAGGCAGGGGTTGTTCTTGGTCCGCCTGCCGAGAATCTGCACTACACGGTCAACCTGGTTTTGCCTTCCGACAACAGGATCCAGCTTCCCCTACAAAAAAAAATAATAATAAAGAACATCAATTCTCGGTTACTTAAATTTGTCCCTGAAATGTCCTCTTGTATTGCAACATGATACGTCTGTCAAATCTGATGTAGAATGCTACCTCCTCTGCTAGTTTTGTCAGATTAGTACCATACTCTAAAAGTGTGGGTATCTTAGTTGTACTGCTTCCTCCCCCAACTGCAGCACTAACAGGTTGATGATCTTCAGAGGTGTCACTGATCATTCGGATAACCTAAGAGGCAAATATATGAATTGATGATATGTGTCAACTTGGATTGAATTTATAAGGAGAACCTCCTTTTCTGTCTAAATTCACCTCACTGCGGATGTTGCTGGGATCAGCCTGAAAGTTCTTCAGCACAACAAGCGCGGCACCATGCTCACGGAGCAACCCAAGTAGGAGGTGTTCAGATCCAACATAGTTATGCCCTGAACAATGTAAGTAGGTTCAGTGCTAGAGAAATGAAAAAAAAAATGGAATACTTTCCTTTTTTTTTTCCTTCAACAGGAGTAGTAAAGATATACTAGCAGTAAAAAGAACTAAAAAGTCACCATGTTTAATGTCAGTTCCCATTAAAAAGTACAGATGCAAATGGTCATTAATTCCTCATGATCAGTGTTGGTAGACTGATACTTAAGATCGCTCATGTACGACTGTACGAGCTGTTTGGTGTAACGAAGAATAACAACACGGTGAATATACAAACCACCCATTGCTAATTGCATACTAACTATTCCCCTGTCCATAGAAAATCAAGCCAATCTGGACATCAGCATTATCTTCGAAATGCAATTTTGACTGCAATAATTTCTATTGCAACAATGTCTGTGTAAAATCAAATGAACTAGTACAATACTACACAAAACAAGACTGCACTTTGTAGAAATCAAATCTACACATCTATGTAACTCGCATGTGTCCAATTTTTAAATGTTTTAGAAATAGCTATGCATAAATTTTAAATGTGCCCACATTTGATTTGACAATATATACCTAGCTGGTGCGCTTCTTCTTGGGAGGCCTGGAGGACGTTCTTGGCGGCGGGGGTGAACTTGATCTCCATGGGGACCATGCCGGGGCCCCTCCCGGCCATCTTCTCCACCTCGGCGCGCGCCGCCTTGAGGCTGAGCCCGGCGCCCCTGAGCACCTTGGCGCCGATGCCGGTGCCCTCCCCGATGACGCCGAGGAGGAGCTGCTCGCTGCCGGCGGCGTGGTGCCCCAGCCGCCGCGCCTCCTCCTGCGCCATCATGATCGCCTTGATCGCCTTGTCCGTGAACATGTCGAACCCCATCCTCGCCACCACCCGCGCCCCCCTCCTCCTCCCGCCGCCGCCGCTCGCACGCCCGTACGACGCCGCCGCGGGTGAACGGAGGCCGAGTAATATTGGCGGCGCGATCGGGGGAGCGTGGAGCTCTCGCCGGCCCGCGGCCGATGCCTTGACGAGGCGGGCGTGCCGCATCGGCGGAGGCGTTGGGATCATAGTAGCCATGGAGGAGGAGGGCCTGATCCTGGTGGCGGTGGTGGTACGGCATGCCGGCGATCGGAGAGACGGCGGCGGGTTCAGTAGGGTTCTCTCCATGGTCGCCGAGGAGAAGCTTCTACTCTACGCCTCGATCAATCTGGACAAGCATTCAATCCATGAAAGATCATTAGGTTAAACGGATGCGATTAGGTATTTAAGAGAGGAGAGGAGGAGACCTGTTGATGGTCGGGGCAATGGCGGCGCGCGGCCGGGCGGACGTCGCCGCCGGTGATGGGGCGGCGGCGGGTTCGCCGGCGACACGGAGGAGAGAGGTACGCACGCGTGGGTGGCGGCGGCGCGGCGCGGCAGATTCCGGTCTATTAATATATCAAGGGAGGATTTCGCGAAATCTGTGGCTGGAGTGCACGCGTGGCGTCCGTCCGTGATGTGGATCGGACGGCTGAGATTTGTGCACCTGCCTTGGCCGCGGAGGGACACGCAATAAGTCCTTTTTCTCTGTTATACTCCTATTTTTCTGTTGGACTAGCAAAGCGCCCGTGCGTTGCTACTCGAGGGAAAAGGTACACCAAATTATAGCTAGAGAAAACGAAAAACATGAATAAAGCTACAATAAAAGCAAGTGAGAGGATCGGAGAGACGAATATGGACATATTATTTTAATCCATATACGTACTCAAAATTCGTGACTACTTACGTCAAACTACGCATGGACTATCAATAGTCAAATCATTTTAAATCAATATCGACAATTGATCCAAAACATGAGTTAGAGCTATAGATTTTTCTGAATTTATGTACCTTTGTCGTATGTTGTTTTGAAATCGTGACTTGACACAATTTAGATGATGGAGAGAACAGTTGGGTTTGATATCAATTTTGAGTTCGATATATGTATTTGGCTCTAATTAATAATGGGTATGAAAATAATCAGCCCACCTTCCAATCGTGGAGATTGCTTTTCAAAAAAGAAGTTCTTCTGCATATGTGCAGAATGAAGAATCCTCTCAAGCAACTGGTTTATGATTGGATACAAACTATATAGGAATCATGTTTTTCTTTCTCTTCTGTTTTTTTCTGTAACTTTGTAAATATTCTCTTTCATTTATAAAATTACACTGCTGGGCAAAGTCCTAGCAGTTTTCCTAGTAAAAAATAATAATAATGGGTATATAGAGATAAATAAGTTTATTTGGAAACTTAAGATGCCTTTTAAGATTAAGATTTTTATGTGGTATCTCTTTAAGGGGATTGTTGGAATGGTAGTTTGAGATATTGTTTCTGTATGAAAAATGAATCGATTTACCATCTTTTCCTAGATTGCCATTTTGCCAGATTTCTTTGGAGATCTATATAATTCGCGTTTGGATTATACCTTCCACATAGTATATCTCATGTGTTTGGGAATTGGCTCGTGGATGTTAATAAAAAGATAAGGAACTTATTCTTGTTTGAGCTTCCGCTGTATGTTGGCTCTCTGACTTAGTAGAAATGAAATGGTTTTTGATAGATCACTTTCAAAATCTTTGCAGGTTCTTTTCAGGGCAACATATTGGCTTCGGGAATAGGTTCAATTATAAAGACATGATGATCATATCAAGCTAATAAAAGATGCGTGCCGTAAACTTGAGTCGACGATCATGCAGCTCTTTGCCAACATTGGGTGGAGATTCACCAATAGAATTTAGTAGTTGTGGGGTCTTTACATTGTTTGATTTTTATTAGTTTGCTTCTACTTTTGGTTTTGTTCCTTTGGCTACATACTATGTGAGTTTGCTTTTGTGTGAACCTTGTAATAATTGACTGTAGCTCTTGAGCAAAGCCCAACATGTTTCATTCTATTATCTAGAAATAAAATCATGAAATAGAGGGTAGAGACTTGGATACAAAAGAGTTATTTGTTACGGTTTTGAAGATATCGCGATATAGAAATATATATCTCATCATGAGTTATGTATATCTCTGTCTCGCAATAACTCTAGACATGAGTGATTGAAGATACTCGTTGCCAATTATACTTTAATTTTCGATTGAAAGACTATAGAGCAGGAGATAATTGACTCCGATAAGTAGGGCACAGTAAACCACCGATTTCACAACATCTTGTGTTCTCCACTCCTCGATTGAGTATGTATGTTCTAAACCAAATGTTCAACGGGGCACGACCCAAACCTCGTGTTAATACTACCTCCGTCCGTAAATATAAGGGATATTCACTGTTCTCGTATAACGTTTGACCACTCGTCTTATTCTAAAAATTTGTGCAAATATAAAAACGAAAAGTTGTGCTTAAAGTACTTTGGATAATAAAGTAAGTCACAAATAAAATAAATAATAATTCCAAATTCTTTTTGAATAAAACGAATGGTCAAACGGTGCAAGTAAAATATCTAAATCCCTTATATTCACGGACGGAGGGAGTACTTGATAAGCAACATAACATGAAGTGAGGTTGTGAGTCTGTGACTATCTGTCCACTTGCTCATTTCTTTCTGTTTTGACCCAATTGATGGCTTTGTCAAGCTCCGCAGGTAGGGAGGAGTGCCATATTTCAGTGGTACCAGTCACGGTCTCGACGTAACATGGTTCGACTATGTCAGTGTGGCAAAGCACTGATTTCACTCACTTCCTGGCCACCCACCCTAGGGACTCGATCGTAGAAGCATAGCCCAGACGCTTGTCTTCTTTTATTTCTTGCGGTTTCTGTTCTCTAGCTAGGTATTAGCTATATGTTCCTTGACCATCATGATGAACAAGCACATGGAGATTGAGCAGATTTTTTAAGATAATAGAAGCTTTTATTAAACTCAGTCAATTACATTAAATTAAGATGATAAAATTATCCTAAGAACATTTTGCGCAGATAAACTATCTCGACTTCCTCGTGTCTTTATTTCCTACATGTCCGCAGTGGCTAGCCGCTTGAATAATTCTCCACTCGGTGGTTATGTGATATTCTCTCCCTAAGATCAAGAAACACTTGACCGAAATGCGCACAGAGACGCTAGCTCGACTTCCTGGTGCCTCCATTTCCTACGTGCTGCCCTAGCCACGACTAGTTGCTCTCCCATTTTAAGATATTTGGATCATGCAATTTTATTTGAAAGAGGGGGCTTCTTTCAAAAAGAATGTAATTAAGAGGGATAAGAAGTTTCATGTTGCATTGCCTCGCCTTTGTGATATATATAGATACAAATATATGTAGAAAATGTTTATCACTAGAAGTAGCTGGGTGGATGAACAAATGTGCATGAAGATGAGAAAGTATGAATTACTAGCTAGCAGGCACTAATTATTATCAGAACTGCAAAGTGGACGACATTAATTTGGGTATGTGCATTAGTCTATCATGGACATATACTGTCCCCTGGTTGTAAACTTCTACGCCCTCCGTTTGATTTATTTTAAAGTCAAATTTTTTATGTTTGATTGAGTTTATAGAAAAATACAGTAAATACCAAATTAGTTTTATTAAATCTAATAGTGAATATATTTTATTAATAGAGCAATTTTACCATTCAGCATTTTGTACTTCCAGGCCGTATATATCACATTTTACACATAAAATTTTGGTAACATTAGGTACTAAGCATCTTGAGGTATTAAATTTTACACTAGAAAATGATTCGATGTATCAAAAATTTATGGTACCTTAAGGTAGCAAAAGTTGGATGTTAAAATTACTTATTTTAGTAACATATTTCTTTTTTGTTGAAAATACTACTCCATTTTTCTATAAATATGGTTTGACTAGCTATTGTGAAATTGGGAATGCTACATACAATATATATAAACATTCAAAATGAAAAGAGGACTGCAACTATTGATAATTGATACCTTCGTCCTGCAGTTTTTTTTCATGGAATATCCATAAAGGAGATGAGCTGTTAATTTAACACCGGTGGTGTTTTCATTAGTAAAATACTCAATTTATTACATGTCATCGCGCAATTGTAACAGCATTGTACATGTACGATGACGATACATAACAGTAAATTGTTAGAAGGAAAAAAATCCTTGGAAAGTTGGATCTTCCAATGTCCAAAATCCTTCTGTCAAGTAATCGTCCATTCCGAAAGGGGGTCTAAACTAGTCCAAGTCCATAAATACCTAATTGCTGCACAAAATTGCAAAAGTGATGGTGTGAGCCTATGCTGCTGAACAGGATGCTGGATCATCTCTGCTCGGAAGAGCACGTCCACTGTTCAGCTTCAATCGTTCAACCAGCTTGAATTAAATTTATAAATATACTGTTAATTTGTTTTTGACAAAAAATACCGTCGGTCTCGCACAACGGTTACGCGAGAATGACGTGACTTGACGCCGCAGTTGGTCTCACAAGATAGCATGAGACCGCGCGTGAGACAGCAAGACCAAACGGTCTCGCTAAAATAAAAGAGCTAGAGCGAACGGCTTGCCTAGTGAGCAGCCGCTTAATTAGTGACTAATTAATTACCCAATTAGCAATTAAGCAATAATAATTAGTAATTAATTATCCTGATTAGCTTACTAAATAATTAATTAATCGATAATTAAACAACTTGAACTGCCCCAGACCCCAGCCATTCGGTCTCGCTATTTCTTCGCGCGAGGTCGCGCGTGCGAAACCGCCTGTGACATCGTGCCCACGTTATTTTCACGTAATGTTTGTGTAAAACCGACAGTATATTTCTATAAAAAAAATTGCATTCCGAATATTTATGGGAAAAAACAAATCAACAGTATATTTGCAAATTTAATTCCAACTATGTTCTTGGGAGTTTCAAGCTTTTTGACTTTTTATCGAAGTAGGGGCTTTTTGGGAGAACTAATTATCTCCATCCATTTTATATATAAGTCGTTTTTTATATTCTTTTTCAAGTTAAAGTTATTTAAGTTCGATCAAACTAGTAGAAAAATATAGTAGTATTTTCAACACAAAATAAATATATTATCAAAATATATTCAAAATGCTAGAATCAATAAAATTAATTTAGTATTTCATACCACCTACATTTGACTATTCGTCTTATTAAAATATATATAAATGTTATTTATTTTGGTGTGACTTGTTTTATCAATAATAAAACTATAATATTAACTTATACGTTTACATATTTATACTAAATTTTTAATAAAACGAATGATCAAATATTATATTATGCGAAAAATCATCAACGTCGTAGTATGTTGTGATATTTTTCTACAAATTTAGTTAAACTAAAAAAGGTTTGACTAAAAAATCAAAATGACTTATCAAAATGAAACGAAAAGTGTAGATAAAGAAATATACAGATGAACTTTAACATTGTGAACATAACATGTATTGTACAGGAGCTCTCATGGCGCTCATAAGCCACAAAGTAAAACTGATCCACCAACTATATATAAGCCCGTC